GGCTGAAAGTATTGTTGGTATTATCAGTCATAAGGTAAGTAGTGAAAAATTATTGATACAGCAGAACAAAAGATTAGTACAACTGCTACATTGTAAGTAGACTAAGTAATATGGGTGCTGTTAGATAATCGTCCTATTTCAATTTTTCTTGTTTGCAAGTTACTTTGTCTCTTTATTTCCGATCAGAAAATTCAGCAAAAGATTGCTCAGGAGCCGGATATGAAGCCACAACATAATTTTCTATGACAATCAGTCAGTCCTACTCGGACTTCTGCTTTATGCTTTTTGAGTTATTATTTTTTATTATTAAAAAAATAACTCCGTGTTAGCGTGTAGAGTGGTATGTTGCTCGCATCAATCAGATTGCCGCATTTGGGTATTATCTCGCACCAATCAGATCGCCGCATTAAGGTATTATCTCGCACCAATCATATCACAGCATTTGGATTTCTTGCACCCATCAAAGCGTTTAGGGTATGTATCTCGCACCAATCATATCACAGCCTTCTTGCAAATGATGTCATGGAATCAGTGGGCTGTGCACCAAGAATGACAAGCCATTAATTTTGGGCTAATTTAGATGAGTGTAATGGTTTGTGACCTTCGCGAGAGTCTCGTTGATTAAAGTCGAGATTTATCGGGATATGAAAGGTTCGCATTTAACCTTTTTGTATCATTTTTAAGTTAAAACGTTTTCTTTTTCGCTCCTTTACTCACAATTCACACGCCAAACAACTTACATTCCATCGTGTACCATGAAAACAACGTCCAAAGTCCAATAAGAACATACCAAATCATTTAACTTCATGAACATTAGGCTTTTTTTTTACGTGCCTGAATTGTATTCCACCAATCAAATTCCATTTCGTCAAATTAAACTTCGCTCCATCACGTGTCGTTTCCTTGTAAATGCCACTGACACTAAATTTTCCACGCAATTTTCCCGCGTTTTTCTTTGAATAAATTTGGCTTTCAGCTACTTTGGACAATCCAATCGCGTGTTAATTCCTTGTAAATAACATGCATTTTATCACGTATTTCACACACAGAGGGAAAATCCAAATAGGTGACAACCAATCAAGGAGCCCTCTTTGAAATGTTATCCTTTTGTCTTGTTCAATGTATCTTCACTTATTCGAGATCGCAATATATCTTTGGTTAGGGTCTATTGGAGATATAACAGGGTTTCAGTTTGCTTTCCGTTGTAAAATTAGGTGGATTATTTTCTCAGGCAACTAACTGTAGACGAATAACTTTGATTTTCTCTCTATTGGAGGAACGGCAGTAAGCGTAGTCTCTTTCGCAACCGTCATTTGGTCTAATCACGCAACGCGCTCTTTCTCAAACGGGGAATATATGGCGTTGTGCGACGAGACCAAACAACAGCTGCGAGGGAGACAACAGTAAGTGTGGCACCGATGCATTTTATTTTTGCTCAGAAGTTTTTAGACAGTAGACCTGTGTGAGCTCAGATAAATTAGTTTTTATTTCTCTTAAGGTGAAGTAATGCGATATTTTTGTCCGTCTCAAAGTTATGCTCTTTTTCTGTTATAAAAACATTTGGTACACAAAGTGTCCCATTTCAACCCGCCCGGCCAAAAAAATAACCCCTGCATGCTACGTATGCCTATGTTTTCATAAGACAATCCTGTACACGATACACACTTAAGCCTGTCACTCCTCAGATCTCGATATTAATTTTCCACTCTATCTTTGTTACAATTCCTATTAAATTAACTTCCACATCCAGGTAACCGCTGATATTTAAACACATCTAGTAATTTTGCGCGGCAATACACTGTTACCCACCTGTGGAAATGAACATAACAGGAACAATCTGCCCATTGTCACCGTAAGCTTTGTCCACAACAAGCTGAGTAAACCTGCAACAAATTACAACTACATTAATTTTCAAACTTCTGTAGACTTATCACCTTATTACACTCAAGGCAAAATAATTGACTGCTGATTGACTGAGGCAGAGGGCATTTTTCTCAAACATGAGGGCACTTTGGGCATTGAAGTGAGCATGATTACTTGATCCTGATTGGCCTCTTATCTGCAATAAACTGGTTTCACCAAAGTGAATGGTGCTTTAGTAAAATGGAATAACAAATATAAGATCTAGTTCAAAAGTGTCCGTGAGAGTAAGAAAACATGGAGTCAGGATGGCTGGTGTTGCACAAAGTAGTGGTACTTTCTTTGATCGGTTCCATGAAACAAAACATTGGAACAAACTACTTCGTTAAGCGATGCACATGTTATGTGATTCAAGTCTTACTGTTTTGGAAGTTGGAAGTAACTTTGTCCTGTAGTAACTATAAATCATATAATTATGACGTCAAAATGTGGTAAAAACAAAATGTGAGGCACCCGAGGCACAGCCAAGAGTGTAATCCGTACGTTACCCACAGCAAAATATAATCTATTTTCTTCTCTCACCCTAGAGTATATGTTCTCAAAGGTGTATCAAAGAAAATAGAAAAAAATTTAAAAAAAGATAGAGTGCATTTATAAGTATTGGAAGAGAAACCAAAAAAATTAAGTAAATAAATAGGATTCAAAAGTCAGAAAAACCGTTATATAAGACATACATTCCATTCTGCAGTAAATGAAAAGGTAAGCACAGGCACTATACGGTGTACATGTAAAGTACTTGCTTAGTACCACAAGAAACTTTCCATTATGAGGTTTTTCTTTAGCCAAAACGTAAACATCCCTTTGACAATTTCATAGTTTAAAGAAAATCTCAGACCTTGCCTTAATTGTATCGAACTCACTGTATTCCTCGGTCAACATGGCAAAGACATGGTTTGAAATCCTCCCATAACAACCTCATTCTTGGTTGACATGCAGTAAACAATACAAAGCATACAACATGTACAAAAAGAAAAAAAAGGCACAGCTGGATAATTAAAACTACAAGGAATGGCTACTTTAAAAAAAATTTAAACAAATACCTCCAGGTATCACAACATTTTGAATATCAATTAATAGGAGTCTCAGGCTAAATGGATATTTTAATAAAACATGCAAAATGAAAAAAAAATTTTAGCTTCTCTTTCAATACTCAAGACTAAAAACAACATGTATTACCTTATGCCTGCTGTGGTAAACAGGGGTCTCATGGCCTTAAATAATGGCCTTGGCATAAGTGGAACAGCCAAGAGAGGATGGTCAGAAGCAAACTTGGTGATTTCCCAGGAATACCTCTTGGTATCCAGCTGTGCATCGCACTAAAAGAAATGATCAATTATTAAAATAAGTTAAGTGTAAAATTCTGCAAACAATTTTAATGAAATAAATCATGAATTGAACGGCAGACGAAGTCAAGAAAAGATCCTTGCAAGGAAACTGCAATCTAAGCAACTGCAGAAAAGAGGCCTGAAAATATTCTGGCTTCAAGGGTTTTCAAAACTTTTGCCTCCAAGATACCAATTAGGCACTACTAACAATTAAGCTACAAAACTGGGTGGTTTTCTTGTGGAGAACATGCCATGTCATGGTTAAAAAGTTGTTGTCCAAAAAATTACACCACAGGAATTTTATGAATATTGAAATTGGAATGCAAGCACTCTCAAATTTGATGAACAAAAACATTCAGGGATGCTAAATTTCCCCCTATCTGACCACACTCAGAGTTGCTACATGTATCTTTCTAAATTAACATGAACCTATACTAGAAGTGCAACAATCTACAACAAAAGTCACAAAAATATTAAATAATCCAGAAGGTGGCATCTAATAGAATTATTTTTAGTTCTAGGAAACTAAGTCTTCCCTAATCAGATAATTTAACACACCTTTGGTCTGCCAGGAACCACTGACAAATTTACAGGAACCTCTTCAACCCACAAGGAAGTTCCATCAAAACCTTTAGTGCCAGTTTCCTTTAAGTAAGGACTGTTATCAAATAATTCTTGAAGAGACTTCACACTGTAAGAACAAACTGCTGAGCCCAGGACTCCTAGCCTACAACAAAAGTGTGACTGGTTGTGAGGCTTTTCCCACTGAACAAACAAAACTACCAGTTCTTCACACTGTGCACGGTAACCCTTCCGAAAGTGTATTGATCACTGAAATCCTACAAAATTTCAACTCCCTGTGGTAACTTAACCCAAAGCAAAGTTGAACAATACCAGAGTAAAATCAACCATGTATGATGTTGTCATCACTACCCTAAGTGGTGAATACATAAAGAACAACAAAATGGCTCTCAGCAGCCAGTTGTAAGTGTTTCCAAGATGAAATTATGGAAACTTAAATAGGTGCAGTCCCCATGTCAAGTCAAGCTGCAATAAAATAAAAACTAAAAAATAATCAACAATAGTAAACTCTAAAATGCCTAGTTAGATATTATGTAGTAGCTGCCATACTTTCCCATCCTCCACTATCTTTTCATATGTAGATAAGGCTATTCTCAGTTCAGACTTCCAAAATGCTCTCAGTCACAGGTGGATCAAGGCTTGGGGTGAGTTGATACAGATTGAAATATGACCATGGTTGTGACTATAACTGAGGTGCATTTTTTTTATTTAAATTAAAATATGACTATTGGAATAAAAGTTTTTGTTTGATTTACATGCAGAATCGATTGAAAGTAAATCATCTAAAATGGCTTTGAAGACAGTAGAGAAACCAAGTTTTGATAAGAAGTTAATACTGTAACAAAAAACATGACCAAAGCTTCCAGACATACTGTATATATAACTTGTTTCAGTGAATAATTTTGCATTTCTCCAAACCAAACACCCCTAATTGTTTTTGCAGTTTCTGACTTGAAAAATGGTGTAGCCTGATTCTTAACACAGTGCTTTCAATAAGATTTTAAGAAGGTGGCTACCTCAGTAAAGTGCCACCTGGAATAAAAAACAATTTCACTCCATAGCCCATTGGTTCCATTCAGAATAAACTGGCTTCAAATGGAGTTTTTGGCGTTAAACTTTGGTAAATGATCATTAAATATCAGTCTCCTTTATAACAATTGTTTAACTGATTGTTTTATTCCTATTCAAAAATCTTCCATTTGCTGACATGCAAAGCTGCTCCCTGAGTTTTGGAAAAAAGTCCTCTGAAAGCAAATATGGTTACTGGTTACTGAAATTTGACCAATTATATTCTTGGAAATTCAAAGTCTTTTCTGGGGGGCTGGAAATGTGGTTTATGATAAAACAATATCAATCATTTCATTAAAACTTGTTTATGAAGGTATTAAAAGTAGACTGAAGACTCTAAACGATCTTGCAGTTATTTTGGTCTCACTTTGTGAGTTTGCTTTAAAGCTTCCAAAAATTCACAGCTGGAAGGATCCAAAACGATGGTAACTATCCACCATCACATAAGACTTAACTCTTTCAACATGCAGTCTACAATAGCATTACTGGATAATATATTGTGTGTAACACATTTCTGTATGCACACACAGTTTAATTTTGATGCTACAATCCAAACCTTCCTTTGCCTGGCTCAGCAAGATTGATCTATTGTTTTTCATTCATAAATCACTGTTTGACTCACAGGTGCTTGAAGTGTTTGCACTGTAATGACATGATCTTTGTTTACAGAGTTTTTTTCTACTTGCAGTTGGAAACAAACCTCTGAATCTCCTGCCCCAAAATGCAGAATGCATTTGTTTTTTCTAGTTATGAAATGAAAAATGTGACAGCGAATTCCTCGGGTTTTATTTACAAAAAAAAAAAAAAGGAAAATTTGTGTAATTATTGATGCATCCAGCTGCTATGTTTATGTAAGGTAAATTAATTGAATCAATCAGCCAATATATTTTAACTATTCTCATAGCTCATATTTCACAATATATCATACACAATTGTTGTTACATGAAATATCACACAAAGTCACTAACATAATTAAGTTCTGGCAGTAACCATAAGAACATGGTCTTTTTCGCTTTTCACCACAAATCTACCTTTCTTCAAATAAAAGGTTATCAAATAATTCTTGTTTCTCTCTCAGTAGTTAAGCCTTGGTGAAGCATTTGCATGTGAACTTAAAATCTTTTCAAAAAAGTTTTGAATTTGATTTACATGTGTTACTTGCTGTTTAAACAGTTTTGATTTTCAAGTTTATTTTCTAACAAGCGGTTGAAAAGAACTACTGTTGTTTTATTTGTCCAAAATTAATTGATGATTTTAGTTCAGCACCAAGTTATGTGAAAATTATTTGAAGTAACTGACGATGTGTACTTATACTTCATGCATGATGAATTTATAAAGAGCACATGAAACAAGCAGAAAAAAAAAAAACTGCTGGTTAGAGGATGAATCTAATTAACAAAGACCACTGAAATTGAAAACTAAATATAAATATTTCCTTAATTGTTAATGTTAATTAACTATTTTTGGTCTGCAAATTAGATGTGGAGGTGGCAAAGTAAACCCATCAATTCACAACAGAATATGGGAGAGTACAACAAGATAATTTGGTATTATCACCTGAAATGATAACATAAACTGGCCATTGTTAAGAGTTTCAAAGCCGACATTTCAAGCATTAGCCCTACGTCAGAGTGAATGGAGAAATTGTGGGTTGTGCATGTGTTTATATGCGAAAAAGGGAGCTACGCTATTGGTGGAACATGATAACAAGAAAAACAGAAAAAATAGTTGAATGAAAAGCATTCCTTGATACCCTGGGGATTAAGAGTGCTGATTTTAATAATGAGTTTTTGTTCTAGAGTTTTGTGGCTTTCCAACTGCCTAGATGTAGAGAAAGGCTGCAGACAACCATATGCTGCTTAGAATGAATAGAGAAATTAAGGTGTCTAGCAAGTGGTTTGGATGTGTCCTTGTCGTCTTCCTGTTTCACCAATGTATGACTTTTTGCGCATGGTATAACTTTTTGCAATAAGTGTAAGTTATGAAATAGATAAACACTGTTAGTACTATATATGTACATGATGCTCTGATGGTGGTGATGGTGAGATGTTGTCACAGTGGCCGGCAATTCTTGTTCAGCGATAAGATCATTAATCCTGTTTTTAACAATGTTTTGGTTGATGGAAGTGAGATTTTTGTCAATTTTTCATTCAGAGAGGTGTTAGAAAGTTGCTGAAAGCTTCCAAAACAACAATTTACGTTATCAACTCAGTTGATGATACCAACAAGGTAAATATGCAGTGTTACTTACTGTGGAGTGGTAAAAATTCCATAAAAATAGTCCTCTTTTGTCACAGGGTTAGTGTAGGTGGCAGCTGCTTCTAATAGAAGAGATCATAGTATCACATTGTCAAATGTGTAAAAAAGTAAAGCTGAAAAGAGTTGTTGTGAGCAATATATGTTTAATTAATCCTGAATCATAGTGTTTCTATTATCACCAAATCAATCATACAAACTGGTGTACTAAACAAAGGAACAATAGAAAGGGAAAATATAACAAACAATGAAATGCTCACAGTAAAAGCAACTGCTAACAGTTTGGCTGAATAGTATCTCAGAAATAAAATACAAAAACATAGAAGAAACTGCATTTGAACAAAGGAAAAACAGGAAAAAAACACTCCTGTTCAGACTTACGGATTTCATTGTAATCAAATGGAATGTTTCCAGGGACTGAGCACATTATTCTGGTTTTCACAAATGAAGTGAATTTATTTTTCAATCGTCCATCACCTCCCTTATCATACTAAAAAACAACAACAACAGTGCCTAAATGATATAATTATAGTGTAGCATTTTCTTTGAATTGTCTTACTGTTCATGACTTGCATGCCTTTCTACAGTCAGTGTATGTACTTGTGGTGTTTTTCAACCTACCCTATTATTAGCACAGCCATTTTAATTTCTACCACAATGCCAAACTGTTGATTTTAAGTTGCCCTTTAGCCTGGCATTAGAGTTTGAATAAGGGTAAGAGACAGGCTGGTCAAATGAGAAAGAAAATGACCACAACCCAGAACTGGCTGGCCACACATGTGTGAGTCCACAGAATTCCAAAAACTAGTGGGAGTCAAAAGATGCCCTTAAAAAACAGAAAGTAGTTTGAATATCACACTAGCTTGCTACTAAGGTTGACAGTAAATGTTTTTCAAATGGATCACCAATGTAAAGGGTGGAGAAAAGGAGTGAGACTTTTTTAAGTGCATGGTTGAAAGCAAAATCCACACTAGCAGCATATGGAGCATAATTTTGCTTCTTTCAAGGGCAAATTTCATTTGGTTAGGAGTAGCTTTCATGAGAAAAAAAAAATTTAGTGTTTAATTTACTTTTTCATGTTCATTTCTAACAGGTAATAAAATATCTTATATTATTTCTGGCCCATGGATCCCCTATAACAAACCTACTAAATGTCAATATCAACCCCAAAAGTCTTTGACAATGCATATTTCAATGACAGTGATAGGGACTCTGAAGAAAGTAAGCAATGATTGATTTTCAAACTAAGTAATGAATAAAGCATTTTCTTTGATGAAAAAATGTCCTCTTTCTTCTTGGTTGAGTATTCAACCTTGAGATGTTGTATGAGCCTCCATACAAATGTAAACTATATTGCATATTTCAACACAGGCCAAGTGATTGACAGCAAAGTGCGTTATGTTAACTGCACAAGGTGTCCTTTTTTTTCTGGTCATTAACTTACTGTTTATTTACATTGCCAAATGGCACCTTTAAACAATTTTCCTCAGAAAGGAAATGTGTGTGTTTTTTACAAACATATGTATCATGATAAAATATCTTGTCCTTGAAATGTGCTATTTAGTGGAACAGTATCAATTGTTGTTATCGAAAGGCAAAAGTTGACAGAGAGAACTCTAAAGATGCTCTAGATAATTTTGATGTCACCTCTTTCAGATTGCTCAAAAGCTTCTAAAAAACTCACAAGGAGATCCAGAATAACCATTTGCATCCAACTTTACACATATACTGTATATTACTAAACCCTTAAATCCACATTCAGTATACATGAACAGTGCAAAAGAATATCCTGCAAATCTGTGAAATGTGTTTATGCGGAAATCCAAATATTTGCACTGTGTTACCATAATCTTTGTTTTCAAGGCTTTCTCCAGTTTGCATCTGTTAACAGACCACTGCCATGCGTGTTTAGAATGATTAATATACATCATTACTTTAAAACTTTTTTAAAAGAATTATTTTGGAGTGTGTGAAACTGCCTCTTTTTTCCCCTGAGGTAACCCACAGGCATTTGATTGTCAAGTCTTCGGACAGGAATAAACATGACTTATATTTTAATATGAAGGTGCATGCGTTTAAATAAAAAATGTCACTTTTGCAAGCAGATGACTTAAAAGAAAAGGTCTACAAGGGAGTCGTGGTCGCTTATTTTGCCATTTACAAAAAAAAGATTCATCATCTGCAAGAACATCTTGAAATCCTGCCACAAATTTCATGTAAAACTTTATTAAAAATCCAACAGGAATTAAAAAAGTGCTTGCTGAACAATACCAAAGTAAGATCAAACAAAGTCCTAAATGAAAGATGAAATGACCATATATATTACGGCAAACATTACAGGCAATGATTCAAAATATTCAGTCTTTTTAAGGTTAGTAAATCCACCAGTTTTATTATGTTAAAAAGGTACAAGATAATTTTTGTCTGTAACAGTGTCTGACGTTTTTTTAGATTGAGTTACTAATGTTTACATGAGATACTTAAATTTAATCAATCTGCCAATAAGGTTAACTGTTCCTATGACTTACATTTCAAATCAGATGTACAATGTAGACAATCTTTATATGGTGTCAGTTCCTCTTTTAAGCTCAAATGCAATAATGTCAGATATAAACCAAACAGAGCAGTATCCATGTACACGCATAAAAGGTGAAAATTGATTGAAAGAATGCAAATATATCTTGGGGTGTCTCCCATCTAACTTCATGAGGTTGCTCCAAAAACTTCCCCAGTCACAGACTTACTTTCTTACTGACAGTGATGACAGAAAAGTGAGCTTGAAGCCCTAATATCATAATGAAGAAATGGATGTTAAATTTCAAAGAAACAAAAAAGAAGCAAAACATTCCTTTGTGCAACTCACTCTAATTTTTCCTTTTGGTAAAAGGAAAAAAAATAACCTTTAAAAATTTAAATGACAAAAAAAAAATTCACTTTCTGTTGAAGAGCAGAACAAATCACCAATTTATTTAAAATGATGAAGACAAAACGCATCTAGTGATCTTTAATTTCTGTTCACTGAGGACTACAATCAGGAATTAACTTCATTTGTGCTATGCCTACCACAATTCCCTTGTCAGTGGAAAAACAAAATAATTCCCTTTCAGTTCTTGCCCCAATAATATCATGTTACATAATTTTACAGAAATAGAAACCTAAACCCCTTCATTTCCAAATAAACCTATAATGATTGATATTTTACGCACCCTTTTTTCTGAAAACGTGCTTAGTTGTTCACACCAATCACAAACTGATTAATGCCAGCAAAAAACCCAAATGCTTCATGCTGAAAAATGGCAGTTGTGAGCAGGAAACCGTTTTTTGACAGGATGCTTTTCGAAAAGTTAGTAAAGAGGCAATAATACATGAATCAAGAGAGACCACTGTATAGCAAAACATGATGCACGTACCTGACAAATCCTTGCCACCCTTGAGTAAACGACCTGGAGGAGAAAGCATGCAGATAGCTTTCAGTGGTGTTTCACTTTTCAATTAAGTTAACCAGATCTTTTTAAACAAATGAATGTTCACCTAATTGTAATTGATGCCATTTTACAATATAAATAAACTACAAAAGAAATGGCAACTTTGAGATTTTTATTTTATAAAATAGCACTACCATAATTATATGCCATCTAAACAACCACTTAAAAACAATCACATAGTTACCAGAGAGTTAAGTCTATCAAACCCAACCCTGAGAAAGCTGAGAAGTGGTCACTAACATGTTCAAGATGCGGTAGATTTATGACAAACTCAATTTTGTGTTGTGGGGGTGGTTCCTTGGAACTTAGTTAATCATAACCTTTCTATTAATTAATTATCTTTTTTTTTTAATTTTCAGAAAATAGTAATAAAAACAAAACAAAACAAAACAAAACAAAAAAACAAAAACAAAAACAAAAACAAAAACAAAAACAAAAACACAAGACCAACAATGGGAAGATGTGATGGCCTAGTGGTCAGTAAGCCAAATGCCCTTCAGATCCAAAGGAAAATGTTTGAGTCTTTCTCCACCCAGGAGTATAAATACTTTCCAAAAAACTGTCAGGAATACTTAAAGAGTTGGTGGGGTCATCTGTGTTGATTTCATGTGAAATAGTGATCTGATGTAGATCTGTGAAATATGCACTCTAAAAACACTAAAAATGAGCCTGTTTAAGATTTACTTCACCTACTGAGCCATTGTTCAAATACTTGGTTATTTTCATTTACTAAAGTAATGATACACTTGGATTCACCTTTCTTGTTTCTACTGCAGTTTCTCTAAAAAAGAAGTAAATGAAGTTGTCTATATGATGTAAAGAAGTTACAAAATCAGCATCTAAAAAAGATATAAAAAACAAGTTTCAAAAAGGTGGTCAAATTGAATTCCACTGCCATTTGCTACAAAAATTTGCCACCAATGTGAGACACCATTTGCACTTGGCTCCCCCCCCCCCCTTTACAGAGGACTTATGATATATAACATACACAAGAACACTGTCATTAGCTTTCAGTCACATTTATGGAGTCTTTTATTTTTAATTCCCTTAGTTAACTGCACTTGGCCTAGCTTGGAGTTTAAGAGTTTGGTCATGTACATGTATTGGCCATGTTAAAAACACAAGAGATAATTGGAAAAGGTTTTCATGATAAGTGGACAGCATATTTGCGATGGGACATGCCTATGAAGTAAGTATTCTGTTCATCAAAGTGTTTCACTAATGCTGTTTATACTTAATTTTTATGTTTAATTGCATTTAAGAGTTTTGCAAAGGCTCACTTAAAATAACTGATAGAAGAAAAGGCTCCATGCAAGTTTTGTGGCTGTTGCAAGTTATTAACTATCTAAAGGGGGTCACAACAGGCACAATGTTTTACAAGTATTAGTTTTAGTTGCTTTGCAAGGTTGTTTTAATTCTTATTACTGTATCCTATGGTTTTGAAGTCAGCTATAATTTCATCTACCCAGGGTTCCTAGAAATTGTTACTAACACTACACCTGCAATAAAAATTTGATTTGTTCTACTTGCATACTCATTGCCTACATGTACAGGCTGTTTCAGAAGAACTTGCCACTATGACCTGAGATCAAGAAAAGGCTACAAAGGTTACACAAGTATTATGACAAGGCCCTTTTTTGTCTGTAGTAGTAACATGAAAATTTCCAAAAATTATAAGATTTCAAAATGTGGGATAGGTGAAGAAGGAAGCTACAGAATGTTTCTTACTGAAAACTGTACTGTAGGGTTCATCTTCACTCAAGTATTTCGATATTAGGTATATGGAGTTCATCAAAATAAAATAACTTATAACTATCAAACCTTGCAAAACTTTAAGAGATGAATCAGATGTCAAAAGTATGCTCCTGCTCAAATCTGCTTCAGTCTTGTAAATGAGTGATCTCCTACTGCTAATCCCAGCAAACAGGTAACTACCTACAACAAAGTGTTTTATTGTTAGCAGCAGCACCAAAACATAATTTTCAATCTAGCAGACAAGAAAGCATGCATGTGACACAGTGTGACAGTGTTTTATCTGTGTTCTTATTTTTTAACTTTTTTTTTTTTTGCATCTGAGTAGGATCATTCATTTACATAATTTTGATTAGTATGCAGCATTTAATCACATTACCATGATTCACTTTCCTACCAATTTCAAAAATAAAATGAATGGCCAATGAAAGTTTAAGACACAGGAATGAAATTGGCCTTTACAATGTCTTAGAGTCCCTTTGCTCCCCCTTTTAATTATTATTTAATTATTATTCAGAATATATATGAACCCACAAGATCTGTCCATTAATTACTTTGAAGAAACTACATGTAAATTGTACCTGGAAAGTGCAATTTTAACTTAACAGTTGCTACTACATAGTGTGTGGCAAACTGATAACTCCCTCCTCCAAGGCTTCAACACAGTTATAGACTGAGGCTGTTTTGACAAAAGTACACTTTGCTTTTTGTGCAATGACAAGTTATAAGCAGAGAGCTTGAGGTTCTGATGAAGGAAGGTTTGAAGGGATTCTACAAGTTGTAAAGGCGTATTTCATTGCTCTCTCTTAAAGTTTCATCAGCCTTAAAAAATATAGAAGCTAAATAGAAAATATATACAGAAAGAAAATAAAAGGAAAAGTTTGAAATTCAGTAAGGACGGATGCTATCATTTTTGGTAATGATTCAAAATTCAATCTTTCATCCATCAAGGAATCACTCCACCTTGCTTTTGGCAGACTAGTAATGACTTGTAGAACTTTTCTGTTCTGCCAACCTGGCTACCACACCACCATCTTAAAGGCATCCCCGTATCAATTGCAGTTGTTTGTTTAGTATAAATAGGATATGTCATCGAGAGTGGAGCAAAAAAGGCAGTTGGACTTCACTAAGCCATTATTTCATCAGATAACAAGCAAGACTGTTCCACAGCATGTGAAAACCTTGTAGCAAATTCTGAACACAGGATCAAATACCAGCCTCAACAAAATCTGGATCAGACTGGACCAGATCACAGACTGCATCACCATAGATCACAAAAAGAAAAGTTTTGGAAAAATTAAAAAATCAAATTGTTTATAAAATAGCAATAAAAACAAAATAAAAGTGAAAAACTAAAAAAAGTAAAATGAAAATTAGAAATGTTGCGTGGTAAGCCAAAATAAAGTGTGCATAACTTAAAGAGGTATGTATCATTCAATCAGTCAGGTATTTATTTTTTCTTTAATATCATCTCACCTGCTACTTTTCCTTCATTCAGTATCATTTAGCACATGAAAATGAAGAGGCAAAGAATAAGGTGAGGAGCAAGATTGTTTTAGATAGGACTACTGAGGTGCATGTGGGCAATTTATGCTGTCCATGTCATGTCGTACACATTAATAATTTCAGTTTCTTCTATGAACTTGTTTTAACATTTCTTCTTTGCCTGAATTGCATTTCTCCCTGAAGAAACTCAAACCCTTCATTCCATCTTAGTGCAAATTCATATTTAGTGTGCTCAACAATTTAAATCATAATACTTGTAAAGCTATAGTAATTTCTATGAGAGTTACCTTTGGTCTTTTGTAGTAGAAAGAAATGAGGAAATTGCTAAATTTGAGTGGCATTCATGAAATGAAATGAAATAAAATACTTGCAAAATTTCTCTAACTTAAATGTGTTCTCCCAACATCCCGTATGGTTTATATACACTGGTAAACTGATAGAAAGTATGGGTTTATTAACTAAATGTCAGAATTTACTCATGTAATGTGGATTACATGAATCAAATCAGTTCATTTAAACTATCCAGGTAGAACTTGAAGTTCAACTCAAAATCAAACGCTAAGTCTAATGTGAGGTCTAAGTGTTAAAAATGGCATGTTTTGGTCTGAAATTGGGTCAGCATTTGAAGACTGGGGCAACAAATCTAAGAAAATATCACATTACTTTACCATAAGAGAAAGAAAAAAAACTAATTTATCTGAACTCACACAGGAATTTTGTGGTCTATTATTTAAATACTTCTATGCAGAGATAAAATGCATTGGTGCCAAACTTACTGTTGTTTCCCTTGCAGCCATTGTTTGTCTCGTCACACAATGCCATATATTCCCCATTTGAGAGAGCACATTGCATGATGAGACCAAAGAATGGTTGCGAAAGAGACTATGCTTACTGCTGTTCCTTTAACAGAAAGAAAGTCAAAATTATTAGTTTACAGTAAGTTGCCAAATATAATTCCATGTAATTTTACTACAAAAAGCAAACTGAAACCCTAGCTGTTGTATCTCCAACAGACCCTAACCTAAGATGTGTTGCAATCTCAAATAAGTGAAGTTACATTGAACAAGAGAAAAGGATATATTTCAAAGAGGGCTTCCTAATTGGTTGTTGCCTATTTGGACTTTGCCCTCTGTGTGTGAAATAGGAGATGAAAAGCATGTTGTTTGCAAAGAATTAACACGCGATTGGGTTAAGTCCAAGGCAGCTAAAAGCCAATTGTATTTGTAGAAAAAGTCAAAATGCAGGAGAATGGAAAATTTAAAATTGTGAGGAAAATTTAAAATGTGTGAAAATTTACTATCCATAACATTTAGTTCAATATGCAAGAGTCAGTTTTTTGGCTGGATGGTTTGAGATGGGACAGTTTGTGAACTTATATAATGTTTTCATTTTTGGCACTGAAAAGAGCGTAACTTTAAAAAGACAGAAACACAGATATTTTGTGATCTTTTGTCTCTATTGTCTGAATGCTTCTAAGTCAAAATAAAATGCATCGGTGCCACGTGCAGTCTCCTTTGCAACTGTCATTTGTTCTCATCACACAAGGCTCTCTACTTCCCATTTGAGAGAAAGCATGTTGCCCCATGAGATCAAATAATGGTTGTGAAAGAGACTATGCTTACTGCTCTTCCTCCAACAGAGAGAATATCAAAATTGGTCTTCTACAGTTAGTTACCTCAAAAATGTAATTCACATAATTTTACTATGAAAAGCAAACTGAAACTCTGTTGTACCTTTAATAGACCCTAACCAAAGATAGACTGCAATCTCGAATAAGTGAGGATACAATTTGAACAAAAGAAAAGATAATATTTCAAAGAGGGCTCCTTGACTGATTGTTGCCTATCTAGACTTTGCCCTCTGTGTGTGAAATATGCAATAAAATACAGGTTGTTTTACAAGGAATTAACACAGAATTGGGTCCAATCCAAGGTAGCTTACAGCAACTTTAACTCAAAGAAGAAGTCAAACATGAGAGAATTCCATGGAAAATTTACTATCAGGAGCATTTACTTCCACATGAAGTTTTTTCAGTGGGGTAAAACAATGCAGTTGGAATATGCGATAAAATGCAGGTTGTTTACAAGAAAATGACACATGATACAGGGAAGTCTTATGTGTCAAATGGAATTTGATTGGTGGAATACAATTCAAGTACATGAAAAATTGTCTAATGTTCATGTACTGCAATGATTGAGTATGTTCTGATTGGATTTTGGACTTTGTCTTCATAGTACATGATGGAATTTAAGTTGTTTGGCATGTGCATTGTGAGTAAAGGAGTGGGAAATCTGTTTTAACTTTAAAATTTCAATGCATACCTTTTGTATCCCATTAAATCTTGACCTTCATCAATGAGGCTCTTGCACAGACTTATCAAATGAGCCCAGTATTTCTGATTAATGTCATCCTTTATGCATAGCCCTGTGATCCATGTCATCATTTACATGAAAACAACAACCAAATGCTGTGATTGGTGCAAGATATTCAAATGCTATGATATGATTGGTGCGAGATACAAACCCTAATGTAGCAATCTGATTGGTGTGAGATACATACCCAAATGTGGCAATCTGATTGGTGCAACATACATAAATTAATGCCAAGATCTGATTGGTGGGAGCAACATACCATTCTATACACTAACATAGAGGGTTTTTTTTCGTAGAAAAAAAAAAAACTCAAAAAGTAGAAGTTTCAGGCATACAGGAAATGACAACTGATTACGAATCAATGCACTAACCATTTGATGAACATCCCCTCACATACTCCAGCTTTAGCTATTTTAAAATGCTTTATCAATTCTACTTTCATTTCATTTGCTAGCAGCATAGAAGATTAACTCAGAGTCAAATTCCTATAAGAAGTACAAGCTTAGATGTAATTCCAAATTTTTAAGAAAGGGATTGTATTCTTAATGTGCCCATTTTAATAGACTTTAAAATCATTTGTTTGATGCCTACTTCAGGAGTTACCTGTACATTCTTTTTTCTTTACAAGACCTGGGTGCACATGTATTGGTTTGTGTCCATATGGGGAGTGAATTGCCTACCCAGACTAAAACCATGATGGATTCTGAGTGGTTTTCTCATGTACTGGTAAAACATTGAAATTTCAGATGGTGGGCTAAAATGGCAGCTGCTCTGAATCACGAGGTTATAATTCAGTTCTAGTTGTAACCATCCTCCCTGCCTGACCCAACCCCAGAAATTCATTTTCATAGGGGCCCACCAACAGATCACCAGAAATCACAGATTTCCTGTCCTCTGGCAAAGTAAAAACTATCTTAGAATTTTCAGCAAAGTAACATAAGTAAACAATGTTGCTGCCTGGATGTTCTGAATATTCTTTAAATTGCGAGGTAAGAAGTTTGTTTTTCTTTGGATCAAACAAATTCTTCAACTCTCTAGTACCTTGCTTTTCTGCCCAAATCATCCATACCCTTTGGCAACACTGGCTGCGGCCACTCTAACCGAGTTAACCGGGTAATTTCTAATTAATTAGTTAGACTCTATGTTAGCATGTAGAGTGGTATGTTGCTTGCACCAATCAGATTGCCACATAAGGGTATGTATCTTACACCAATCATATCACAACTTCCTAGCAAATGAATCAGGGGGCTGCACACAAAGAATGACGTAAACAATAAATTAGGGCTAATTTTTTTTGATAAGTGTGATGGTTTGTGGCCTTCATGAGAGCCTTGACAATTAAGGCCAAGATTTATTGGAATATGAAAGGTTAGCATTTAACTTTTTGTATCATTTTTAAGTTAAAACATGTTTTTTTTTCGCTCCTTTACTCGCAACTCACATGCCAAACAACTTGCATTCTATCATGCACTATGACAACAACATCCAAAGTCCAATCAGAACATACTGAATCACTGTATTATATGAACATTAGGCAACTTTTCACATGCTTCAATTGTCTTCCACCAATCAAATTCTATTTTTCCAAATTGGACTTCACTACATAACATGTCATTTCCCTGTAAATAACCAGCATTTAATCACATATTCTTACTGCACTGTCCTACCCCACTGAAAAAAAATTTTCATGGAATTAAATGCTACTTTTAGTATATTTTCCACACAATTCTCCCGCATTTTGAATTTTTCTACAAATAAAATTGACTTTTAGCTACCTTGGAGTTAACCAACATGCATTTTAATTCTTTGTAAACAACCTGCATTTTATCACTTATTTCACACACTGAGGGCAAAGTCCAGATAGGCAACAACCAATCAAGGAGCCCTCTTTGAAATAAAATCTTTTTTTCTTGTTCAATGTATCTTTACTTATTTGAGATCGCAATATATCTTCAGTTAGGGTCTTTTGGAAATACAACAGAGTTTCAGTTTGCTTTCCGTTGTAAAATTATGTGGAATTATATTTTTGAGGCAACTAACTGAAAACAAATAATTTTTGTTTTCTCTACGTTAGAGGAATGCTAGTATAAGCTTCACAACTGTTGTTTGGTCTCATCACGCAACATGCTCTCTCTCCAACAGAGGATATATGGCGTTGTGTGACAAGACCAAACAATGGCTTTGAGGGAAAGAACAGTAAGTGTGGCACCAATGCATTTTATTTTTGCTTAAAAGTAAATAGACAATAAACCACAAAGTACCTGTGTGAGTTCAGATACATTAGGTTTTTTTCTTTGTTTCTCTTAAGGTGATTGAAGTAATGCGATATTCATGAGTGTTTGAAAGTTAGGGTCTTTTTCTGCTTCAAAATAAAAACATTAGGTACACAAAGTGTCCCACTGCAACCTATCCAGCCACAAAAATAACTCTTGCACGATATGCTTGCCTATGTTAATTTGTGGCTAAATTTTCATGTCCTATATATGGGTGTTGCAGTGTATTACAGTTAATGAAAAAACTGATGAATTTCTTCACTTATCCTATGAACCTAAAATCAACCTTGTAAAATGTTAGGAAAATGTTTCCTGTTCCAGGAAACTGCAAATAATTTCACATAACTTTACAGACAAATGAATGCAAACAATTCAAGTTTTGCTGCTAGCCACTTGCCATAAACTTTTACCACAACAAATTTATTTAACTTGATATTTCCTGATCTTGTTCACTTTTTAGTTTGCTTTCGCTTTTCAGGGAATCAAGCCTTGACAAGATGGTGGTTGACAGTGTGATCATTCACTCCTCCTTCATTTTATTTTTACTGCTTCAATTGCTTCTTCTCTCTCTTTGATATGAAAAAGATAACAGACAGAGGTTTCTCTATAGGTAGCCTTGAGGCATCACCAAGAATAACTGTTGATAAAATGCCTGGGTTTCATTCAGCGATTACTGTCCGATTGCAGCGATGCCATGTTGGTTTCACTCCCTTCTCAAGAAAAGGTTTTTTCACTCGATAAGTGAATCACTCTTTGAATTCGACATCCACTTTTCAAGTAACTCAGATTGTACTTAATGGTGATGTCTCCATGAATCCTGGACCTCCCAAATGTCCAGTCTGCAGTAAGACCATTGCTAGAAATCATTGCGCAGTGGAATGCAATGTGTGTCAACACTTCAAATATGGCAAAGTAAAACCACTTGAGTTTGACGGAATTCAGGCACATCACTTGATCAAGTAAAACAGCTACCATTTGCAAATACAAGCAAGTTTGACACAAGCAGAGGGTTTTTCATACAAGCAACACCGAGAACAATTCACTGTTTGATACCTGGAGTTCGTTTGATTTTTTAGCAAAAAATATCGGGTGTATACCAAGATTGGGCACATAAACACTAACAGTATCACTGGATTTAAATTTCATGGTATTAGAACTTGACTACGGTCTGAAAGATTCGACATACTTCTCATAACAGAGACGAAGATAGATGCTGGTTTTGGCAATGGCCAATTTAATGTTGATGGTTTTCATATGCATTACATCAATAGAGATATTCATGGGGGTGGACTAATGATTTTTTTAAGAAATGACATTTGCTTTCATGTAATCACATGTTTCAATATGGACCTGTCTAGTTTTTGCATCAAATCCATGATGTTGAAAGTCAAAATAAATAGATCATGGTTTGCTCTTGCTGGCATACACAAACCTCCTAACATCCCAAAAAGTCAATGGAAATTTGAATAAAGTTTAATCTTTGATGCTGTAACAAGAACTTCAAATGATGTTAATTATTTTCCTTAGTGACTTCAACTGTGATATGAAGAAACCGAACAAGTCTCCAATGGACAGTCAAGACTTATGTGATTTATTGGACATTTACAGGCATAGTTTGATGCTACTCTGGTTTACAGATTCAATAAATGTAACCGAAAAAGTTACAATTCATAGACCCAATGTTTTGACACTCCTGTCTAGTGTCTTCATCAGGGGTGATCTAACCACTGCAACAAGAGGTCCTTTAATATGATCACTAATTAGCTGCCTTTTTTCTGATGTGATGTAAATAGGTGTCAGGAAGTAAGCCACCATCATCGCGATTTACAGGAGTGTGGGCAGGGTTAATATGCCAAGCTTCCAAACAAAGGCGCCATTCAAAATTCTCTTGATAGGTTTCATAAACCACTGCTGGTTCCCTTTCATCAGGAGTGCTACTAGTTGTAACTGGTTCTTGGCAGTTATGGAGAAAAGTTTTTGTATAGCTATTTGCCTTTCAGACATAAGAAATGTATTTCCTCTCCTCAGCCTTCAAATCAAGTGAAGATGGTAGACAGTCAGCCCTCCTGAGAAAAGTTTTGGCTACAGACTTTTTATGGCAAATAGGGTGGTGAGAATTGAAAAGCCAGGTATTTGTCAGTGTGGGTAAGTTTACGATAGACACTTTTCTCTAAATTCCCCTGAACCCCTCTGGACACATTTAAATCAAGAAAGGACAAATGTCTATCCTTTTCATGCTCAAGAGTGAATGGAAGAGACAGCTCTACTGAATTCAAATGTGATAGGAGGCGCTCTACTTCATTTCCGGATACTGCAGAAATAACATCATTGACATATCATTTCCAGAGAAAGGGTTTAACCAGTAAAGTGGCAAAGGCCCCTTGTTCCACATCGTCCATTATCATGTTGGCAATGACAGCAGAGACGGGGGAACCCATAGCTGTACCAAAAACCTGTTGATAGTGGGTGCCATTGTATGCAAATTGCATGGTTGGCTACATGTGTATGTGCTTCCATCAAGTTTGAGATTTCAGCCTTCTTTGTAGAATGCTAAAGGATACAAGCTCATGGCTTTTCTGAAGTTACAAATAGATGAATGTCACAGTTCCATACTGTGTTTGCATGCGTTATTCTCTTGTTCATTCATTGAACTCTTTTCTTTGATTAACAACTCCAAAACTTCCTGGGTCAAGGAGTTCTGCCATTCAAAAGAACAATAGACGTTTACCAAACAGAGAGAGAAACACGACAGAAAATTCTGTCATTTGCTCAGTAAAAGGTCTCCTGTAAATTCAGGTTCAATGGTGACCCACTTGGTAAGAGCAGAAGTAGGCAGCGCACACAAATACTAATGAATTTTAACAATTTAGTTGATTTAAATATTTTTCTTTCTCAAAGATATTAGCCCAATGAAATAAAGTGTATGTATGCATGTATTTCTAAAGAGGTATCCAGCAGGTCAACCTTCCCTTTTTCTTCACAATGCAGTCAAGCCATTTCAAAAATGAATTGATGCCAAACACTATGGGACAAAACCAAGTAATATCATCAACAATGGAATCCATCCTTTGTCAATAAATCTAACTCACCATTCAAGGTTAAACAAAGGGTAAAACAAAAGACTACCTCATACTTCTAATGAGCTTCTTCAGAGTGTGTTGTTTGGGTGTGTTTTGAAAAATTGTGCGCATCTGCACACTTTTTTCAACCCTTTATTGGTGCATTTTGGGCCATGTACCTCTGAGCTGTACTGTACGAAAGCTCATGGACATGAGCCTTGCTTTAATGTTGTTTATTCTCACCTTGCGTTATTGTTCAGACAATAGATGTTACCAATATGTCTTAAATCTGAAAATAATTCCTGTACTTTTTGTGAAACAGCCATATATCTTTTAAATATGAACAACTTCTTCTGTTTTTTTCCAGTGAGAATTAAGTTTCAATTCACATGCTTGTCACCATATTGACTTGTTTTATGGTAGTTTACCATTGATATTATAATCACAGGTAACCTAGAAGGATATTGGACCTGATTAAATAAAATATTCTGCTCACAGTGGCCACTCTAGAATAATTTTCTCACCCACTCCCTGGCTAAAGCTATTATTCATCCGCTGTGCACCTTATTTCAGGGTTCACCTCTTGAATTTGACTTGGGCTTGGTGCATATCTTTACTTTTCATCTAATATATTTCAATGTTTCTCTCTAATTTATTCATTTCATTTATTAATTTTTTCATATTCTTTTCCTTGGTCTGATTCATGAACCTATCCTTTCCATATTTTCTGCTACAGTTCTAAATGTTTTTCAATGTTATTCACCTTCGTAGTTTGACTAAGAAGTTAGTCAAATGCAGTTCCACATTTTTTTTAATCCTCTTTCTCAGAAAGTTGAAGACTTTTCCAAGTCTGACCAGATACATACTCATTTCAGAACTAGACTGATCTTAAAAGAAACTAATTAATGTTAATGGTACACCATGGACCACATAAACTGCTCACATGCTTCCTGTAGTCATATCTTAAACAATCTTACACCCACCTCAATTTTCACCTCTTCTCTAGAGTGTGCTACATGATATTGATTAAATGAAAAGTAGCAAGTGATATAATATTAAATAATAACTGGCTGATGAAATGATAAATAGCTCTCACTTGCCTTCATCCACGGTGGCCCTGAACAACACTCCTTGACACAGCCATGAAAGTAACTACACAGGGTTTTAGGGTAAAAAAACCTTCCAGTGGGGCTTGCACTCTATTATGTCACACAAACTATATTTTGGCTTGTTATGCAACATTTCTAATTTTTATTTAACCTTTTTCAGTTTTCCACTTTTATTTTTTTGCTTTTAAACAATTTGATTTTTCCAATTTTTTTTTACAATCTGTGATGCAATCCTGACTGGACCTGTGATCCAATCAGTGATCTTGTCCCTGATCCCTCCAGGGATCCAATCCAGATTACATATCTAAACATGTTTCTGCTAAATGATGCATTCAATTATACTCACTACTAAATTTGGAAATGATGCTAAGGAGTTTCTTTGATGGTATTCCAATAATTGCATTATATTTCAATAGCACATCTAGAAAAGTTACCTGAAAGTACCTGGCTAGAGAGTGCAGATTACAGTTAGTGGTGGTTTTGACCAGCAACCAGCCCTTATTCATAGCTCTGAAGGGAATTTAATTGTAATTTAATTTTTTCCAAAGGAGACATGCATACATACTTGTAAAGATCCCAGTCACCTTGCCTTGATAACTAGATGGACTTATTCCATCTCCATTGATTGCATCAGGTTGCGGATTCAGTGAATTATTTCTCTGTATAAATCATTGGAAAATGTAATTATTATAACAAATAAATTGAAAATAATAATATAACAATGATATGCCTTTAAATTACTCCTGAAGGGATCACAGTTTCAAATGCTTCAAGAAGTCAAGTCAACTTTGCTTACACAGTTAAATCACCAGGAATTACAAGTTATAAAATAATTTAAGTATATATACAGGTACTAACTTAACATCTACCTACTACAATGTTTTACATCTACCTATTCCCAAAAAAATTGAAATAAATAAATAAATCACATGGTTTAAGAGGATGCTGTGCTAAAGAATTACGGTCAACTCGCCGACGGACCAACTCGCCGACGCCAACTCGCCGACGTATAAAATCGAGTAGAGACGTCGGCGAGTTGGTCGTCAATCCAATACAACTTATTAGAAGTTAAACATACAGAAAAGTAAACGATATTTAGTAAAAAAACACTGGTGAACATCTAACAGAAGCTTAAACATTGGTGAACATTGGTGAACATCACCAATGACTATAACAGCTTAAGACGCGAACGAGTTATTGTGCGACAACAACACCGTAAAGACTCATCATGTCAATCGCTCAGATTTTTTAACGAAAACTTGACTTTCTAGACGAAAAAAAAGTAAAAAGTAAGTAAGTAAAAAGCATTTCTTTTTGTTTGCAACAAAGTTTGTAAGGATCTCAAGGCGAATAAAGCGAAGTAAACATCACCAATGACTCACACAACTCATTGGCGTCTACAGCCAATTTTGTTCATTGGCGATGTTAACGTCCCTTTATTCGCCTTGAGATCCTTATAAACTTTGTTGCAAATAAAAAGAATTGCTTTTTTACTAAAGATCTTGTCTAGAAAGCCAAGTTTTCGTTAAAAAATCTGAGCGATTAACATGAGTCTTTACGATGTTGTTGTCATACAATAACTCGTTCGCGTCTGAAGCGGATGTAGTCATTGGCGATGTTTACTTTACTTTATTCGCCTTGAGATCCTTATAAACTTTGTTGCAAATAAAAAGAATTGCTTTTTACTAAAGATCTTATCTAGAAAGCCAAGTTTTCTTAAAAAATCTGACCGATTGTCATGATGAGTCTTTACAGTGTTGTTGTCACACAATAACTCGTTCGCGTTTGAAGCTGTTAGAGTCATTGTGATGTTTACTTTACTTTATTCGCCTTGAGATCCTTATAAACTTTGTTGCAAATAAAAAGAATTGCTTTTTACTAAAGATCTTATCTAGAAAGCCAAGTTTTCTTAAAAAATCTGACCGATTGTCATGATGAGTATTTACAGTGTTGTCACACAATAACTCGTTCGCGTTTGAAGCTGTTTGAGTCATTGGTGATGTTTACTTCCCTTTTTTCGCCTTGAGATCCTTATAAACTTTGTTGCAAATAAAAAGAAATGCTCTCTACTAAAGATCTTGTCTAGAAAGCCAAGTTTTCGTTAAAAAATCTGAGCGATTGACATGATGAGTCTTTACGGTGATGTTGTCGCACAATAACTCGTTCGCGTCTTAAGCTGTTATAGTCATTGGCGATGTTTACCAATGTTCACCAATGTTTAAGCTTCTGTTAGATGTTCACCAATGTTCACCAGTGTTTTTTTTACTAAATATCGTTTACTTTTCTATATTTTTAACTTCTAATAAGTTGTATTGGATTGATGACCAACTCGCCGACGTCTCTACTCGATTTTAAACGTCGGCGAGTTAGCGTCGGCGAGTTGGTCCGTCGGCGAGTTGACTGGTTACCGTGCTAAAGCTGTAAATGAAAAAAATATAAGTGATTTAAGGCAGGTAGGCAAGAAAAACTAATCCCCACTGAAAACTTCCATTGAGAAAAATCACAGATGAAGGCTCTTGGAACTGGGTTATCAAAATAATAAAAAATTTACAATACCAAAAACTTGTCAAAAAAATCATGCAACCATCCTGGTTTTTGATCTGGGGAATTTGCTGCTCTTAAGTGCTTAATTAGCAACCTTTTAAACAATACACCTCTTGTCATCACTTCATTCAAACCATGAAATTATTAGACAACTTTATGATTTCTTTATTTTGTTTTCTTTGGAGAAGTAAATCTCACTGAAGGAAGCTGGAAATGACTGATATCACATACTTCTACCAAACACTAAAATCTATTTTAGAACAAAAAAATATATCATTTTAGATTTTAACAATAGGGGAAAAAAGAAATTTTTGTTAGATCTTTGGTGAGAAAAATTTGGAGGTAATATTATTGGCGATTATTGTTATTGGTGACTAATTTAAAAGACTCTCCAAAATTTCCACCTTTGTCAAACAATATCTATTGCACAACTCTGTAATAAGAATCATAGATGAATCAATTTATTATAAGATCTATAAGCATGAAATGAGGGTATCAGATGTGAATGATTTAGTTCAAGAAAAGCCAACTGTCTTTACAACCCCATTACCACTAGAAAATAGAAATCTCATTAAAATCTGTCCATGAACCTATTCTTGAGTAAAATCCTCCATTGAAAAGATCTCCCCTCTGACTGCACATGATATAGAATGGTATATCTCTCTGAGAACTAATCATGTGTAAACCAAACATGCATGTATACAGCTTTAATTTCCATTTTTTTTTTCACTCAGCAAAAAAGTGCTTATCTCAGATCTCAACTATCAGGTATATATGCTTTATTTCTTAGCAGATTGTGAAAATTTGGACCAATTCTCAGCTATCAGCTATTGGCCCCATCGAGACCCTTCACATGGAACCAATATGTGCAAGCCTTAAATAAAAATGTATGGACTTGCTGAAAGTCCACGAATGGAAGGGTAGAGTGATGAAGTTAAGAAGCAAGCAAACAAATTGTCAAGTAATGTCTTTGTCTTCTCAAGTTCATTTCAAATCATGGCAAAATATGATATAAGTCATTGCTGCACAATGATAGAGCAGTCAATGACAAGGCCATGGTTTTAATAATAAGCATTCTTCTTGCTTGGCATACTACCATTGAGGTCAAGACAAGTTTGGTAATCAAACAACAAAATTTATTCATAGCAATGATGAACATGGTACACTGTAATTGCTTTATATAAGATCTTTAGTGCCCTTGTAGCTGGATGCTGCTCTATTATCACTTTTGACTTACAGAGAAATATTATATGGAATTGGGGCTGAAATATGCAAAGGTTTCCTTTGATATAGTACCATTGTACTACTTCATATTATTACATGTTTGAATAAAAGTAAAACCCATAAGTAATGTCTTAAAGCAAAATATTTCACAACAATTTTTTTTAAAGTTGACACTGTATTTTGTACAGCCAAGGTACAGTGTACAGCATATTAACACTACTAACCTTGAATTTCCAGCACTTTGGTGCAGTTGCATAAGTACCACAAACAAAAATATTTTCTTGTTGGTCAAAGAGTATCAACTTTATATAATTTTGGCAGTTGCCCTACAGGAAAGAAAATGTCAGCAGCATGAAAAATGTGCATTCAATAATTTTCATAGGAGTGTTTCATGAATGTGAGGTCAAGTAAACAAACTTAAATTAACAGGTATACTTATGACAAAATAAACAAAAGCACTGAGCATATACTGGAGCTAACCCACATTATTGACTGAGTAAATACCATATTTCTCCAAATAATGCAAGTTGAAGGCTATGTGCATGATACAGTATTTTGTTGAAAAAGAAAGTATATTGTCCTACATGCTTCCCAATGGTTGAAGAAAACCAATTAAAAGTACACTGTCACATTCTGTTACCAGAAAACGAAATAAACATGGCTATTACATACATTACTTAAACAATAAAAAAGGCATTACAAAATGCAAGTTTATCCCAAAAACCCAACATGGGGAATGAGATTCTGTGATCAATCCTCTTTAAATAAGCAAAAATACAGGCACTTTGCACTTGGTTCCATTACTAAGGTAACCATACATTTCTACACAACAAAAAAGCCAGAGATTGTTTCTGAACTAATCATTTGAATTTAGATGAAATCTAAAATGATACATGTAAGTGTGAGAAGTACTATATTGAATCCTCTATATTGTATTTTGTTAAGATGAAGCATAACATATCAATGGCTACAGCACCAAGGTAATTAATTTTTCCTTCAATATACTCAATAATTTTATCATGTCCTGTGCAACATTACTTGCATACTTTAGTTTAATTTCTACACTTAAACATTATGAATGCAAGGCTTAAGTTTGTTGAAAGCAATTCTATGCAACTTAATTTCTTTTGAAGATCCCTGAAATGCTTAGACCTACATGTAAGACCTAAGACCCAAAATGAAGACCTGGAAATGAACTGATAACCCAAAAATTAAGACCTGAAAAACAAAGACCAGAAAAATAAAACCCAAAAAAGGAAGACCCCTTTTAATTTTCCTTCATTTAACATGATCTTGTTGTGTTTTCCCACCAGAAATATCCAGTTCTGGTTTAAATCTTTCTAATAGCAAAAGAACAAGCTATTTCAAAGTTAGCACGTTATTTTGAAAATTTTTGGTCTTCAGGTTTTCAAGGTCTTTTCATGTAGAACCCGTGTTTGATTGCATGCTTTATCACTATTGGAAAGATTAAACTGGAGTTGGATATTTCCAAAGAGAAACCATAACAAGACTAAGTTAAATAAATAAAATTAAGGGGTTTTGTATCTGGGTCTGGGTTTGTATCTTAGGTCTTAGGTTTCAAGGGTCTTTGTTTTTTGATAAAACCAGTTTCTTTTGCTACTAAATGTCATAAAGTTTTAGTCTCCTTTATTTTGCCTTTTAAAGCACACAAATTGCTCTTTTTTTTGCTATTTCCTCTATTTGTTTATAATTTATATGCATCTTTTTAGCTTCGTTCATTGTTTATTTATGATTTACTTTGGATTGAGTCAACAAAACATCAGTTCGTTAGTCACCGGAGTAATGTGTGATAAATTAACAAATGCTCCTCCACACATTGCTTACCTTGCCTTGTCCCAGGCTTAAGCATGCCTCCAATGCCTCCTGACTTGGGTGTAGAGCTACTCTCTGAATTATGGTAAAATCATAAAATGTAATCAACAACATCTGTTTTAAAGATTTGTATTGTTATCAATGACGAAAAATCCTTGAAATCAGCGTATTTCTTTGAAAATGGACCTCAACCACTAGAAAAAGGTTTCAGGGTTTCAGTGACTCATACCCAAACCTCTTTTAACCAAGCTGGCATAGTTTGAATTAACTTCTGTCCAATCACTTTCAAGTTTTTATTTGTAATGAGTCTAAAAGATATCTAAACCTCACATTGAAACCTAAGATAAAAGTGAGGCACTAAAGGAGGTGGTGGAATGAAGATTCCTTGGCAAAATATAAAATACAATAGGATCCCAAAACACAAATTATAATTCACACATGAGATATACAATACATATGTACGTCACTTTAAAAAGTATATCATATCAATTACATAAACAATGTTTGAGAAGTTTCTTAAAATAAGGAATGGAGCCACTTTTATTTGAGGTTACTGTGAACTTTTAGAGGTCAATTTTTTTACGTATCTTGCAGTTCAAACATTTATCTGTTCTTTGATTTAAATATTTTGGGTAGCTGAAAGAGATTTGCCAATAAGTGACAGTTAGGCCTCAGCATTGGTGAATTTTGGTGCAAGAGTCTGAAAGTAAATGATATCAACTCATTGAAGAGGGAGAAGCATGATAAAACAGCATAAGAAACCCAAAATTCTTGCAATATTTTGTTTGTTTGAGATCACCACACAATTGATTCTAGCTGGTGAATAGTTTTACTGTTGGTTTCCCACACATCTCTGTTCTTGCTTTGGTTAGCAGTTCATTTTTTTTCCATGTACCAATGCAAGAGCAGATAAAATTTTTATCAATTAGCTAATGAGAAATGATCTTCTATCAAATTTTGCCAAATCTTACCATTCACTCACACAAGTAGGATCTGGGTAAGAAACTAGGAGTTTCCCCACTTTGATTATTTCAAAACATTTACAAAACTACACAGCAAGCAAACAAATATAGACTGGCATAAACGAAATGCATCCTAGCCAAGGAAAAAGATTTTTCAATGTACTATGCTTATTAAATATCCCACCAGGTTTTTTGCATAAGATGTGATAGGAATAAATTTTAAACCTAGGGAAGAGGCACAACATTCATCTTTCATCATGCACTTTTCACATACAGCTGGAGTTTGGAGGAAGGTCAAATTCCAATTTCTCAGGCAATGTTCACCTCTCTGAAGAATTTTTAATTAAGGAAAAACATAATGAGCTTAAAAGTAAATATTACGAGGTTTTCACTATACAATGTACCTCTCACTAACTACATACTTACATCATTTTGAACTGATGGTAACTGCAATGTAGTTAGCTCAAGTCTAAACAGTAAATTTCTGAGGGAAAAAGGCAGAGAATATTTGTAATGTAAGCAATCGAGGACTACCTCTAGATTTACATAGCCTCATCTAACAATGAGGGAAGTTCTCCCAGCCCCCCAAGTGTTTGGATGGGGTAAAGTGAACATGGGAAAAAGTCCTGTATCCATTTATAAAATATTTACCATTATTACTTTGACAAATGAAGATACAAACACACCAATCAACCAATGAAAGTGTGCTTACTACAGTATCTTAAATATAATTGTCTCTTCTTTCATCAGACACCTCAATTCACACAGAAGTTTCTGACTTCTAGGGGGGCAAACACTTCTTTGTTACAAATTAGGCTTCCACTTTAATTTTTGAATCCTGAATGTGCAGAAACATACATGTGTAAGGCAGAGTCCAAGAGTCTCTTACAACTCACTGTGAGACCTGAAATATTCCAAACTGTTTCCAAAATGGCTGACTCAGGGTAAGCCATATAACGTGAGGTAGGCTTATCTGTTATTTGCATAAAATATTTGATAGATATAACAGATCCCTGAAACCCCACTTGTGTGGGGTTATTTCCTTCAAAGATATTTATAAATGTATGTGTAGCTTGTACTATGCAATCTTGGTTAAGGCTACATGTATCTAATTGAGAATAAAAAAATTGTTTGAGCAGACAATATGACTAGCACCATTCCTCAATTATTTGAAGCCCTTTATGATCCTCAACTGTATGACACTTTCATCTAAAGTAACTGCAATTGATGATAAAGCCTAAAGCAAACCTCCTTTTTCCCTTGCATAATAAATACTTGAGTATCAAGGCAGATTCCTGCCCTGGTACACACCCTTTTCATACATGTAGTTAGAGTAACAAAGAGCAAAACAAGAAGGGGTCAAGGAAAGCTTGGCTTGACTATCACAATAAGTCCTGATTAAACTTGTTTTTATGTACAGTGTATACTTCACACAAATAAGACTTGTTAAAATGTAAATAATTGTTATGATGAACAATCAAAACAGATTAATCTCTGTTCACTTACTTGGCACCAACAATCAATCGGTTATTTCTTTCATCAATGAGTATTTCATCTACATTTGTTCCATTTGAATGAAATTTGGCACACCCTGAAAAAAAAGCACAGTATAATTCAAACCTCCTCCATCCATGTTTATCATTTTCATAATGACACTGTCTAACAAAAAACAAAACAGTCACCAGTATAGTGCACCTTGGAAAGTTCTTCTAAAAAGCAAATTTCAATGGTTTCCAAGTGCCGTAACAGTAACCACAGCAAGATATAATTTATAACAAACATTTTTAATAGAGCCTTTTAAAAAGTTGGTAATAATAATGTTGACAGTTTCAGAAGTTCTTAGTTAACTGAAATAAATGATGATTGATAGTATCTGATGGTGAGGCTATGACAACTCTTGCAACTATTAATTCTAGATATTAAAACAATATTAAAGTGTATGTACATTTCATTGAATGAACTATTGCTGCAGCTTAGTCTCAGTAATTAAAGAGTTTTTATCTTTGTGTAACAATAACTGACAGCAAATAACAGTAACTCCTGGCCCCTCTATTTGTATTTACCTTACTATATATATATATTATGTATTTGCTCTCTGGGGCCAATACTGAAATATTTACATGGGTGTCTGTTGAAGAGGGCTGGTACTACAGAGGTATTCCTTAAATTTGACAGGTCAGACATTCAATAGAACACAAAAAAACTGCCTAGAAAATTATATTGTTTTATTTTCTTATTTTGGGCTTATAATAAGTTGAATTCAGGTTCTGGGAGTATACATGTATACAACTGCATGTGCATATTGTTTTCTTTGTTCAGTCATTAAATATAAATACAAAAAGAAGAAGAAAGCTTTCTAACATAGTATATGGTTCTTATGTAATCAGTTATAAGACCATGTATTCTGCAAACACCTTTTAAATCAAAAGCCATGGCAATGATATAAGTAAGTGAGAAATTCTTGCATTTAATCATTTCCTTGATGTAGTTAAAATACCCATTCCAATTGCAAAAGAGGTGAAAACAAATGTACAAATTCCTTTCTTTGTGTGAGGGCAACCAAAAGTTGAAGTAAAAGTCTGTGCAAACATTTACCCCTTGGGTGCACACCATTTCCCTTGAACAATAAGTACTATTTTGTCAAATTTTTATCACCAAATATAAATTTGTCATCTTCTTAACACTGCCCTGTGCTTGAAAGTGCACTTATGAAAGACAAAAAGCATTATCTATGCCACATGCTTGATCTACCTGTCATGCAGGGAACACAAAAGGTTTCAGATGTTTGTGTGAATTGTGTTTGTTGTATTTTGGATTAAAGCCCCATGTATTTGACAGAATGAAGGTTTGGGTAACAGAACACAGTCAGGCAAATATTTATAAAACACATGTTACAACAGTGTTCAAAAAAATTCAGGAAAGCCTTTCATGGAAGAGAAAAATTTAATGGATGGTCTACACAGTCAAATAACATTATATACAAAGGGTTTATCTTCCAGAAATCAAGAGAAGCTTTTTTTTGCACAGTAATTGAGCTTGTGGATGTTCATAATCTCATGGAAATTGTTTTTCCCCTTCTGAAAAGTTTTCTTGAATGAGTTTTAGGGTTATGAAGACTAGTTTTAAGTCAGAATACATGTTGACCCACTTCTGTTTTCAAGTGGTTGACCCTAACCCTAACATTTTCAGCAGGAGTTTCACATTGTTTGGCAGTACCTTTTTCTATGTTTTTTTCCTTGGTTTGACCTAGGCCTGCTGGAATGTATATGACTTCTCAACTTTTCTGCCTGACTTTTGTGTCACACTTTGCCACTGTTGCAATTAATTTAACACAAGCACAGAGTGCAAACTTTATAGGTAACATAAAAGCATCATAAATAAAGGCAAATTGTTTCCTTCTTTGTCCATAAATTGGTTAAAGGAAGATGTTTGTCCTCATGACACTCTTGTGCTACATTGTGCTTCACACACGATGATCTAAAACCTCAAACAAAAATGCTGAAAAAATTGATTAGAAAACAGTCTACCTTCACAGCTGCTATATGAATGAACAGCTTCTCCACCAATCAGCATACAATAATGAATAAGAACTCTCAATGACAAAATCTTGAAGGACAAGCTCATTGTACTGCATCTGGAAACATAACACATTTATACAGTCATATACATAAGAATTGACGCACATGTTTATACTACTTAATTTACATGTATAATTTACCCTCATAACCAAAAAATGAGCCTGTACTCCTTCATTCACTTGCACTATTGAAAGGAGGACATTAAAACTAAGCAATCTTGCCACATGAAACCTGTGTTGAGCTTCCACCATAAAAAAAATTTAATTTTGCTTTTTCCTTTTTTTATAAGATTTCAAATTTTCCTTTATGTACTTCAAAAAATTATGTTCCTCCCAGTAGATTCTTACCATCAGAAACAGTCAGATTATAAGTGCACTGTTCAATTGAACAACTGAAAATAGTTGTGTGATTTTGTATCAGATTTTATGCATATTGCATACATCATTTCAGACATGGACAACCAGCATAAGAACAAAACCAACTACCCTTACTTCCATTCTAACATCAGACAGAAATGTAGATTTGATCTGCTGTTATCCATTTAACTCCCAGTGGTGATTGTAAGCATGGTACCCCTACCTGCACTCCCCTCTAAGTTATCTCACAAAAAAGTTGTGGGAACAGACAAGCTTATCTTATTATAACATCACATTTTCATCTGTAATTCATAAGGAAATGTATGGTAGTCATTGGTGACAATAACTTATTGGATCTCGGGAGATAAACGGTTAGAAATAGTGGAACGGGTTGACAAAAGCTCAACAGTGATTAACGCAGAACTGCCATTTAGATGTCAGTTAGGCTTGATTCTCCACATCATCATGAAAATTAATTCGGCATCTGCGTGTCAGATTAGAGTGTATTCAGGAGTCTACGGACTGGCTCATCAACAATACATCTGTATCCGTCACTCAGGTTTAGAATCTAATCAGGTGTCGCAACCAGCTGAGGTCTCGTGCACATGAGATACAATTTATCACGAAGATTAAACTCACGGAGCAAGACGGCGTCTATTCGTTTGACTATCTAACTCAAAAGCACTGAATTCATAACGTACGTGTAATTGATACATGCACGAGTTGGTGCACGATTTCTGTATTCCTTGTCGAATGTTGTATCGTCATCCCGGAACATTACGATTGAAAAGATAATTTTGAAAAAGGAGAGAAAATTGAGAGTTTCAACTTTCATTTCCAAAAAGTAGATATAAGGTATATATGCTATAAATGTTCTGTACGTACGAAGACATTTCACATTTAAACCAGAAGATGTTTAAGGAAAGTCATGCGCAATAGTTATAAACAAAAGATTTGAAACATCTGTCAACGAAGACTTAACGTTCACCCGTTAATTACTCACCAATACAACTCATATTTTAAAAATTATATTTACTTTTCCCCTTGATCGATCTCACAAATTGCCTCCCCTAAGGCGAATGAAAAAGAAAAGTTAACCATGTTTTGAAATTGAATAATTTCACCTTGATCCTACCTGGTTCTCTCCTATTATTGAAGCATACAGATAGTCTCCCACAACTTGCTTTCATGAGTATGCAAAGCGTTCGAGGACTGGCGTCGACAAAACTTGGATCGGACCGGATCCGGATCACGGACCGGATCACGGATTGGATCATGGATTGGATCATGGATTGGATCACGGACCGGATCGCGGATCAGATCACGGATCATAAATCGGATCTTTTTAAATAAAATTTGAAATTTTGCACGACAAGCCAAAATAAAGTGTGCGTGACATAGTGGAGCACAGGCCCCACTAGGTGTTTTTTTTTTGCCCAAAAACCCTATTTAGTCACATTCACGGCTTTGTCGCATGTCGAGGAGGTGTTGAGTAGTGCCACCGTGGACGAAGGCAAGCGAGAGGTTATTTTTTATTTTTCTTTCGCTCTAGCCGTTTCCTGCGTTGGTCAATAACGCAGTAAAAAATATTGTAACAGCCAGAGCTTTTGAGAAATTGCTTAACTTTTAAATTAGCGAAGCACAATTTGGTGACATTTCAGCTCTACAACACGATTGTTTACTGCAACTGCAAATGATCTGCCTCTAAATGAGTTGTTAAAGTAGTTTCACCGCTGACCACTCCTATTTCAGACTATTTTTTCCAAGCTCAATGCAGAAGACTAATCACGTGGTCTAAGTCACGATGAAAAATCGTCCTGATACTGCAACGTGCTATATCGAAGGCGTTCGTCGAGGGTCGAACACACAAGTTTACAGTACAGCGGTTAAATTTAAAATAGGTCATGTAAGCTTTGGCGCTTGTTTCCCACGAAAAATTCAAACTAGACCCTGTGAGCAGGGTAACTGGGATACCTGGATGGTACTGGATCCTTGGAATCAAGTGTAGTGAAACTACGGGTGTCGGACTAGTATACTGAAATAGTGCGCCCAAGTCTGGCCAAGGGCATACACCTATTTAAAAAAATAAGCATGCTATGCATGCAAGAGTTACTTTTGAGTGATGTCTACATTCTTACAAAAGGAGAGAAGAATATTAATGTGGGAAAGAACGAAAATGTCGAATTACCTCACTCACAGGTATTTTGTGGTAGATTATGTGTGTTTTGCGAATAAATTGATGAAAATCGATCGTAATATTATTTCAAGCCTTCAATATAGTCTTCTTACTTTGTGCGCGAGTTGGTTGGTGTGAGTCTGAACAGATTTTACCAACGTAGTTAAAGTAGATGACGTAATAATAATAATAATAATAATAAAATCTTTATTACCGTGTCAATGTATTTAGCTCATAGAGCTAATTGGGGACACCTACTATTACTAAATTAATAAAAAACTATGTACAGTATCATAATAAGTAACAATATAGCCGATAAACTATGCATTAAAATTTAAAAATATTTAGAAATATTAACAATGTTCAGATAACATAAAAATACTTGTACCATGCAGATAATTAAAAAAAATCACGTGCTGCAAAGATTGCAGCAGTTGCCACTGTCTTCCACTAGGCTGACCAGGTCAACTCTACGGATTCTAGTTTTAAAGATACTAAGGCTAGGTAGTTCACGCATACCATTTTCTAATTTGGACCAGATATATGGTCCTTGATACCTTAGTGTGTGTTTACCATAGTGTATAGTTTTAAATCGTGGTATTTCAAAGTCACTATTCCTAAGGTTATAACGAGTACCCTTTCGAGTAATTATCTCAGATATGTAGCTGGGTACTAGATCGTTCTTTACTTTATACATTAGTATTGCTATGTCCTGTAAGCATCTATTATGAAGCGTAGGTAACTTAGCACGCTTAAGAAGTTCCTCATATGTCTCTGTTGTTGTTTTGAAGACCGCACGCAGGGCTCGCTCTTGGATGCGTTCGATTTTTCGCCCATCTGAAGATTTACAAAAGATCCAGACTAAATGACAGTATGTTAAATGTGGCATTATAGCTGTTTTATATAGTATGAGCTTAGCTTGGCATGGTATTAGGTTGTGCAAGCGCATGAGGACTCCTACTTTCTGGCTGGCTTTAGTGCATATTTCGCTAATGTGTTGTGTAAAGTTAAGGTTCTTGTCTATATTTACTCCTAATAGCTTGATTTGTTCAGTTTTCATGATCTCATCATTGGCGATGGTGAGAACGCTGCCCTTCTTATCTGCATCTATGTTTCTTGGGTTAATCGTAAGAGACCAAAACTTATCTGGATTTGCCAAGAGGAAGTTGTCCCTATACCATAACAGTGCTTGTTGACCCTGAGTCACTAGAGTAGATTCGACTTCTTCATAGGTTTTTCCTGTCACATATAATTGGTGGTCATCATCATAGAGTGTAAGGTTTGAGTCAGGGATATGAAATGCCATATCATTTTGGAACATGTTCCAGAGGAGAGGGCCAAATGACGATCCCTGAGGACAACCACGTTCCATAATTCTCCATTCACTCGTGTGGCCATTTATTTTTACTCTGTTTAGCCTGCTATCAAAAAATGATCTAATCAGTTCAAGTGAACTGCTATTAAAACCGTAGGCATCCAGCTTTTTTAGAGTGAGTGAATAGCTTAACGAGTCAAATGCTTTACTCATGTCAGCAGATAATATTGTTGCCAGCTCTTTTCTGTCCACTGCAGACCTCCAGTCTTCAATCAACTCAGCAGGGTTGTCTCAAAGCTGTGTTGTTTTCTATAAGCTGTCATCCTGTGGTACAGAGCAGGGTCATAATTTCTGGTCACTTGTTTGCTGAATAAGTGTTCAAAAATCTTGTCCACACATATAAGTGAAGTGATTGGACGATAGTTCAATTTGTCTTGTCTGAATAAAAAGTGATGGTAAAGCAAGCTTAAAACGGCAGAAATCGCCAGAAAATACAACGGATACACTGGGTATGAGTAAGTTTTATTGATTTTACGAGAAAAATGTTCACATTTCGAAATATTTATCGTTGTAAATCGACTTTACTTCGTTCCCTATACTATTCCTTATAACGTGTTCAAATTTCCAACAGTTCCTCTCGTAACTTAACACCGAGTCACACAACACGTGACGCGTTCATGAGTTAATCGTTAGCCTTTTCTCGAGACGTGAGCTTGGGCCTCCTGTGAGAAGACAATTGCGTAAACAATATTTAACATAATAACATTATACATAAAAAACACAGGGTTTTGGATCACTTATTTCTTAAAAAAGGATATCCATACAACTACAATGAAAACGAACATAAGATTCACCTTTCTGATCGTGAAATTAATACCATTCGTACTGTTATCGTACCTACGTTTCTTGCCATCAAGTGAATCCAACATGTCGTCTTTCTTCACAAGCAGTTTGCATCCATTATAGTTATGTTCTTCAGTCTCACGGTAGTAGTGTTGTTCAATAGATTGCATAGAGTATATGCAGTTTGGTTTCAGATTTTGCTTTTTACAACAAGTGGACGTTTTTCGACTACGATATTGGCATACTTAGCATGCAAGGCATTCAAGGCTTTCATGGCTTTCAAGCGTTCGCGACTCAATCCGTTCCAAAATTACCGCTCAATAACATCTTCCAGTGTGGATTAGCCGCGATTAATACGACTTGTATATGCGTCTGTAAGTATTTTGCGCGTTTGCGCCATAATGCTCCAGGAGATCGCAATCCAAATACGTTGAAATACAAAAGAATTGACCAAAGAGTCTTATAAGCAAAAATCACGTGATTCGTCATGTGACCCGGCCCTGTCCGTGTATGACAACGTCAATCATCATCAAGATAAACAGTGACCTCATTGGATCACAAGTTGTCATGGTGTTGAGGGCCCAATGACCTCTGGGCATACAATTTTTCCATTTTGTGGCGGAGGGAAAAAAAAAAAAAAAACCCTGTGATAGGGCTGGGATACCTGGATGGTATGATCCATGGAATCAAGAGTGATTACGGGTGTTTTATACTGAAATAGTGGCTCAAGTCTGGATGGATTTTATGCTATGCATGAAAGTTATTGGGTGGATTACTTGTGGTCTACATTCTTACAAAAGGAAAGAAGATTATTAACGTGGGAAAGAACGAAAATGTCGAATTACCTCACACACAGGTATTTTGTGGTAGATTATGTGTGTTGTGCGAATAAATGTAACCAAAAATAAACTGTATTCGGTGCCACGGATACCTGTTAGTACAAAATGCAGTCAGACTGCAGACCGGATACAAAATATAGACTGGAGACTGAAGAGTTTTTACGTCTGGTAAAAATGCAGACTGAGAATCTGAAGAGCCTTTTTACGTCTGGTGGAAATAATAACATGTCATCTTACAGCTTACCGAGCGTCACGCAATCGCTTTTCCTCGATCAGCCTTCACGATTATTTGCACTATTGATTTTTGGAAAATTCCTAGCCCATTTTCTTGATGAAAATCGATTGTAATATAATTTCAACGGCCTTCAATATACGCGTGACTCTTCTTACGTTTTGTGCGCGAGTGGGTTGGGTGTGATGTCTGTAAACAGATTTTACCAACGTAACAACTACAATGGAAACAATCATAAAAAAGTAGATTATGTGAATAACAGTGATGGCGTCTTTTCTTAAAGCATTCAATTTTGTTTAAAACGGCAGAAATCACCAGAAACTTCAACGGATACACAGTTCGCGACTCAATCCGGTCCAAAATTACCGCTCAATAACATCTTTTAGTGTGGATTGGCGGCGAACAATACGACTTGTGTATGCGTCTGTAAGTATTTTGAGCGTTTGCGCTATAATGCTTCAGATGATCGTAATCAGAACACGTTGAAATACAAAACGACCGACAAAAGAGTTTTCTGGGCAAAAATCTCGTGTTCGTCATGTGACCCGGACCTGTCCGTGCATGACAACGTCAATCATTATCAAGATAACACGTGATCAGCATGTGAACACCTTCACCCTCATTGGATCACAGTTAGTTGTCATGGTGTTGAGGGCCCAATGACCACTGGGTACTATTGCGCAATTTTTCCATTTTGTGACGGAAAAAAAAAAAAAAAAAAAAAAACTAGACCCTGTGAGCAGGGTAACTGGGATACCTGGATGGTACTGGATCCTTGGAATCAAGTGTAGTGATACTACGGGTGTCGGATTAGTATACTGAAATAGTGAGCTCAAGTCTGGCTAAGGGCGTATACCTATTTCAAAACATAGGCATGCTATGCATGCAAGAGTTATTTTTTGTAGGGTGGGTGGATTACTGGTGGTCTACATTCTTACAAAAGGAAAGAAGAGTATTAACGTGGAAATGAACGAAAATGTCGAATTACCTCACACACAGCTATTTTGTGGTAGATTATGTGTGTTGAGCGAATAAATGTAACCAAAAATAAACTGTATTGGTGCCACAGATACCTGTTAGTACAAAATGCAGTCAGCAGACCGGATACAAAATATAGACTGGAGACTACAGAGTGGGTACAAAATGCAGACTGAGAATCTGAAGAGTTTTTACGTCTGGTAAATAATAACATGTCATCTTACAGCTTACCGAGCGTCACGCAATCGCTTTTCCTCGATCAGCCTTCACGATTATTTGCACTATTGTGGAAAATTCCTAGCCCATTTCTTGATGAAAATCGATCGTAATATAATTTCAAGCCTTCAATATACTCTTCTTACTTTGTGCGCGAGTTGGTTTTGTGTGATGTCTGTACAGATTTTACCAACGTAACAAAAAAGTAGATTATGTGAATAACAGTGATGGTAAAGATTCAAGCTTAAAACGGCAGAAATCACCAGAAACTTCAACGGATACACAGTTCGCGACTCAATCCGGTCCAAAATTACCGCTCAATAACATCTTTTAGTGTGGATTGGCGGCGAACAATACGACTTGTGTATGCGTACAAAATATAGACTGCAGAAGTATTTCGAGCGTTTGCGCTATAATGCTTCAGGTGATCGTAATCAGAACACGTTGAAATACAAAACGACCGAAAAGAGTTTTCTAAGCAAAAATCTCGTGTTCGTCATGTGACAAACCTGATCGTGGACCTGTCCGTGCATGACAACGTCAATCATTATCAAGATAACACGTGATCAGCATGTGAACACCTTCTCGTGTTCCCTCATTGGATCACAGTTAGTTGTCATTGGTGTTGAGGGCGCAATGACCACTGGGTACTATTGCGCAATTTTTCCATTTTGTGGCGGAGGAAAAAAAAAAAAAAAAAAAAAAAAAAAACGACAAAAAAAAGGCATTTTATGACTGGGCTACCAAAAAACAGGTATCCCAGGTATCCCAAAAAAAAGAAAAAAAAACATTTTATGACTGGGCTACCACAGGTATCCCAGTAAAAAAAAAAAAAAAGACGACAAAAAACAAAGGCAGTAAAAAAACTAGACCCTGTGAGCAGGGTTTGGGATACTGGATGGCTGGATCCGTGGAACAGGTATCCCAGTCAAAAAAGACAAAAAAAGAAAGGCATTTTATGACTGGGCTACCACAGGTATCCCAGTAAAAAAAAAAAAGATGACAAAAAAACAAAGGCATTTTATGACTGGGCTACCACAGGTATCCCAGTAAAAAAAAAAAAAGACGACAAAAGAACAAAGGCATTTTATGACTGGGCTACCACAGGTATCCCAGTAAAAAGAATTGTTCAAGATCGTTCTGAACAAAGGAGCTTTGAGGTCCTGCGGCAATTTCTTGATTTTGTTTGAGTATTTTGTGGTTGTCATAAAATAACCAGTGAGATATATTTCTTTTTAACAATTTTCATGGGATTTTTACCTGTAAGCTAAATGCGAGTACATTTTTTTTTTCATAACGGGCACATAAAATAGCATTACGCCGTTACTATTTTCTTCCAGTATCGATCATTAGGAGAAGAAGAAATATTACTAAATGCGTGATCGCGTAGTTTATAGCGATTCCCAAAATCCTAGATTCATGAAAACAAGCCATCAAACTATACTTCTCTGTTTTTGTTTACTCACATGTGGCTTACAGATAAAGATATACAAAAACTAGTAAAATGTTTTCAGTATGTTTGAGCTATTTACTAGGTTATCAATGCGCTATAAGCCTAACAGTAACGTTTGAATTTTAGACGGTAATGTCGTCTCTTAAAAAGTAAATTATGAGAGAGATTCTCCTTGCAGCATTGAGTCCGTGAAGAGAAGTTCAATGTTTTTTACTTACGTAATACGAAAAATTTGTCAACACTGAAACTTCAGACAATTCGTGAAATAACGAACGAGAATTTCAGGAATTGTACACACTCTACGTTTATGGGGAATTCTGAAGTGAATGGATGTAAATGACCTTCCCGATTTTGTTTCCTCAGTATGCGAAAAGCTCGATGGATTCCTCCACTAAAATACCTAGAAAAATTAAAACAGTTTCGCGGGTTATGCGAAAATCGAATACTACTGGTACGTTTCATTATATTTAAAACTCTGTTTTCAAAAGGAATTCTCACCTTTGTTGGTCCGTGGAGGCAATGCCAAGTTTCATTGCTTACGATGGTAAACGGTTTGCCAAAAAATTGGATTGGTACATTACCACCATTGTGTTCAAAGGCGGGAGACGTTGCAAATGCATAATTTGAAAAAGTATTAAGGTATACTAGATAACGCACTTAGAGTGTTTTCCAAGAGCTTTCTTATATATGAAATACTTTTAAATATTTCAACACTTTTACGCCCGGTGCATTGCGTAAGTTTTTATATAAAATTGCGGCAAAAGATCAAATCTCTACAAGTCCCACACCGAATTGATAAAGGCAAAAAAAATCAGCTAAAAATAAAGGACACTGTCCACCATTTTTCGAAAACCTCTTGTGATTTAACTCCTTTGAGTGCAAGGCCTTTTTTACAAAGCATGTGGAACTAATAAGAAGAAACCTCTCTCGCATATCTCGAACTCGTCTCTTTTCCCGTCGAAACAACCCAAGAAGTACTGGTTTTCAACAGAACAATTTTCAAGGTTTTCCTCAAGGAAGTAAATTTATTTAAAGAAGAATGATTAGTCGCCGCCATCATTACGCATTCTAGTGTCTTAATTAAAATTTGTCTTCAGTTTTTAGATGTCATCCTTTCGTGGGCTTTCGCAATATTCGCGGGTTTCATAATTTTCTCGCTGACCAAAATTACCGTGTACTCTTACCCTCTACGGACTCCTCGATATAGCGTCACCCGTTTTTCTTGGTCACTGTCTCAACTTGGCGGCCATTTTGAAAGGACCGCACGTTTTGCTAGCCGAAAAATTGAGGCCATCTCAGGTTGATTCCCGATTTGGTCAGTGTAAAACGCAGACTGCAGACTTCAGACCAGGGGTAAAATGCAGACTGAAGACTGTAGACCAAGGGTAAAATGCAGACTCGGTTCTTTAGTTTTAATAATCCTGTGCACTATATTTCGCGTTGATGAAGGAGTCCGATACATTTCGCCAATTTTTTGCGAGACTGCTCGACCTGACGATTGCATGAAAGGTCCTGTTAGAATGCCAGACCAAGAAGTTTGAAATCAGAGACATGTTCAATATTTCTTCCATTTGAGTTAACGACTATTGAGGCAGAGGACACGAAGTTCCCTGACATACATTTTTCTCTTACTATCATGGACTTGGTTTTCTGAGAATTTATTAACGTTAACCAGAATTTGTTAACGTCACCTAAACGTTTAAGATCTTGGACTGAGAACCTGTATCTAATAGGAAACATTTTCCCAACTAGAAGTTTTCGATAAAGTTGTGTCACCAACATAAACATCTGGTGTCGTTGACAAATAAAAGGGTCTAAAAGGAACTTCTGGGTTTCATGATAGGTGCACATGGCTGTGTATGGATATTTAAGACTGTGTGGGGCTCCATACCCCTACATTTCCTTATAGGGGTATGAAGGAATGTGTGGGGTTGGAAGAACTTACATGGCGCGCACATAACTCCTATCAGACCACGTCAAACAACTCTGTGATTTTTACACTCTAGACTGACTCATTTATAGAAGCACTCCGCTGACTTCAGACACTGCTGTTACCACTTTCCTAATTACTTTTCACTTTTCCATTTCATTGGGAGCACGTCGAACGTACCATGCGTCTTGAGAAGTGCTATTTCTGTTCGTCAACAATTTATCCAGGACATGGAACAGTGTTTGTAAGGAACGACTGTAAAGTAAGCTCTCTTTTTTAAACTTTCTTCTCGACTAATTTGATCGGTGGTCACGCCGGAGGCGATCGATAATTCGTTGCGATACATCGCATGATACAACTCGGCCAGAAATGACCTATTGTGTAACAATACATAGCGTGGAAAGTTCTCTCGAAAAGCGTTTCTGTTGTAACATGATTTGCAGTTTGTATGTGCGCAATGATCAAAGCGATAAAAGGAGTTCCGGGGGCTTGTTTTGAGCAGGGTTTGGTGGCAGCTCTCACGGACTATTTTTTCAAATTCTATTACACTCCGTCCTTAAAATTTAAGTAATCCATCATTTGTGTTGTGTTGTCATTCTAGCTGTTTAGATTTTGTCGCTCAAAATGTCACAAGAACTTTAAGATGAAGAGAAATCCTCGTAAAATCAAATGGACAAAAGCTTTCAGGAAGGCAGCTGGCAAAGAACTAGCCATGGTAAGAAAAAAATTCCAGGCAGCTTTTGACATGAAGTAACTTTATGATATAGATGGCAACACCATGGGAAATATAAAGCGATAAAGCGAATCCTGTGTTCTGATTGGCTCCGGGATTATTCAAGAGTTTTGTTATGCAAAATCTATTTCTTACATAGTAAAGCCTTTATTGACCCAGCTTGTGCAATCATGATGGCTGGATATCAGCTTTGTTCTTTTTTTGCATTTTTTTACCTCAACTTTGCCTCAATCCATAAAGGAGGGAAAAAAACTCTGCCAATATTCAGCCACCTTGACCTCATGTTTGGTCATTAACCCATCTGTATTGACCTACAAGGTATCAAAATTTTTTGATTTTTCACTTTTCAAACTTGCAATGTTCCTGTGAGTTTAAAGAAACCGCAGTGCCACTTTTGGTCTGTGAGGTAATTTAGGAAAAAACTGACTGACGTATTTTTGCTCAAATCTTGCGCAAATCTTGCCTGTTTTTTCTTCAAGCAACATAAATCTGTTACACAAACAGAACTCTTGGGCTTATTCAAGTGAACCTAAGGGTGTGTGTGTTTCACTCAAGGATACAGTAGACCTGTTAGAACCAATTTTCTTTAATTTTGTTTCCATAATCAAAGCATTTACTACACTTTCAAGACAAAATGAGAGCACTTTTTTAAAATTTTTATTCTATTGAAATCAGTTTGTACATAAAATAAGCTAACTAAATATGCAAAAAAAATTCAGGTCATGGGCACTTTAAGAGTGAAGAGTCAGTCAGAGTATGTCAGCCATCATTGCAAACAGGTCCTCATTATTGGTGCTTCAGCTTGAGTGTTTCTTTGCCCATAGGAAGTTATGAGGCCATTTATTGATGTAAAATTCACTTGACATGTCTAATAGTGATGGAAGCTGCTGATTAGTGTTGTTGACAAAGCGCAAAGGAGTACAGTCTGTTGGTCTGCCCACAGGCTCTCATTTAAAGCAGCGCAAAATACTAAGTGATTTTCCTGTCTTTTACTTGATACTGAATTTTACTTGTTAGCTGCAAAGTGCTAAAAACACATTACTTTAATGCCACACTTCAGAAACTTTCTTTATGGTCACTCCTGTTGCAAAACGTTGGAAGATGAAGCATTTTATATCATATCCAGTAGAAATAACTGCAAAAGCATCCCTTCCATCTAAAAAACAATTTACTCCTTTTTCGTTCTTTGGCTTTCGAAAGACCAGGTCTTAAGTATTCATTAATAACTTTCAAAAATACTTGGATTACATATCCAGTGTTCAGTAAATTGAAACCATGTTTGTGTTTGATCATCAGTACAAAAAACTGGTTTGTGTCAAACTGATAGGACCTGTCATTTTTTACCAGTTTGAATGCAGTGTTGACAGGGAAACTCAGGGGATGAAAAAGATAGTAGCATCCTTGCAATTGCTCATAATTAGTGCCAGACCCCAGGCAAACCCCCTAAAGCTATTAAATATGTGTGGGGAATCTCTATTTTGTAGCTGATCTCCTGTTTGTTGAGCAAATTGATTGATCTTTCTTGTCATACAAAGGGTAGGCAGAAGCATTCCAAACAAATAACAACTTTGCTGTCAGGAACTTATTCATAGACATTTATTTTAATCAAGTTAAAAAGCGACAAAAGCATGAAGGACAGTCTTTGTGGCCATCTGAGTTGTTCCTCAGATGGTGAAAGAGAGACTTACAACCATGTGTAAGTTAGAAAATTAAGACAAGATATCATGAAAAACAACACCAAATTGGAAAATGCTTTCAGTGGAGCCAGGGTAATATCCCCATCATGTACAGTGTAAACGTTATAAATCATAGATAAATCATATGATAAATCATAGCTAGTTCATAGATATTAATATTTAAGTGTGATAAAGCTTCTTTTCATTCAAACCATCCACTGACAAATATTAGAGGTGCAGGTACATTTGTTAGGGTGATCCTTCAAAGTACTAATTACTACAGTTTAACTATCATTTACAGACATTTGCTAATTATCTTAAGGGAAGAACAAACATTTTTGTGTCAAACAAGATAAAGTTCCACTAAATCTGAATGTAAAAAAACAAGAATTGCCTTCTTAAAATAAGGTAAAATTGTGTTTAAAGAGTTATCCTCTCTGCATGAAAACTAGGCTAGACAGTGGGTGTTCAATTTGTTTTGCCACAAAATAGTTTTTGAGAATCAAGGAATTGTATGAGGAATCATCTGAGGTTTATCCTTATTGTTTTTGATAGGTTTGAGAAAAGATGACTTACCATATCTACAATTGTAGAGTTCACTTTTTTTAAGACTGTAAAAGGAGAAATTTTTTAAGTAACAACCTGAGACTTTACTCATACTTTTGTAATATATGATTTAGCCAAGCCTAAAGGAAGAATTCTTGTTAGTTTATTTTCCAGTCCTTCACTATAATAGAAACTGTAATAACTCTTCAGCACTGTCTGTCAAAGAATTTCTTCAAGGAGATTTAGGGACCAGTTCGGGGGTGGGGGTATTCACAGGGTCTGGAACCTAGGGACAATGTTCTCACACCTTGCAGGGAAATCAACACGCAAGCTTGTCAGCGGTGTTTTCAAGCAGCTGAGGACTTTCGTTGTTGTTCCTGATGTTTGAGCAAATTTTCATAGTTAGGGAATCTTTTCTTCTTCAGATGCATTGTATGAAGTCAGCATCAGTTGAAGTTATATCCTATTGAGCATGAATGAAGTTAATGGAGCATTTAATGCAATCTAAATAATATTACACATTACAATGTGGTAACTAACACAACAAAATTATGTAATGACACAGTTCCAAACAGAGGTTACCTGGGTATTTGTAAGAAACATCAAGCACTATTGACAGCTTGGGCCAGAGTATTTAATGCAATCTAGATAATATTACACATCCCAATGTGGTAACTTATACAACAAAATTATATAATGACACAATTCCAAACAGAGGAAGTCAGGTTAAAGTCTCACCTGCTTGAACTTTTTAGGGCTTAAGGTACAGAGAAAAAGATATGCTAAACAGTTACAATTAATTAATATGTAGAGTATTGCTTGAATATATCAATCCAGTAAGTGCAAGTGCCCAGTAAACATCATTAAGGTACAGAGAAAAAGATATGCTAAACAGTTACAATTAATAGAAGTTGAAAGTTTTAAAGCTAAAAGATACACATTTCAATCGTCAAACCTTATGCATCCTAGCAAAAATAGGGTCAGTTACCACCATAACTTCTCCTAAACATTCATGCATACAGGAAATCATTTATTTTTGTCACTAGGTGGTACTGTACTTACAATAATTCTACCATGCAAAAGTGAAAAGTGAAAAAGTCTCACATTTAATGATCTACATAAAAACCATGGCTAAAATTTCACACCTGTAATGAGAAACTTAAAATGCATACTCATTTATTTCAGCCTTCCTGCTTAGGAAACATGCTTCTATTTACAATATTAGATAATAAATATTCAATGATCTGATTTCATTCTATTAAACATCAACTGACTGATTTGAAACTTGGTTGCAAAACTAACTGATACTTTCTCATTGCAAATAGTCTGAGTTAAACTTCAACTTCTTGTTCAGCTGGACCATCCTGTTACATGTGAAAAAATCAAATGTTACTCACATATTCAAACAATTACCTGAATCAAAAGTTGTATTTTTTTAATAACCCATTTCTTTTAATTGTGCTCCAGAAAAAGTAAATGGTATTGAAGAGAAAGGAAGAAATTCTGGAAATGTTCTATTTTAAATGAAATTTCATCATGAATGTTAATTGCGACAGCAACAAAAAAGTTGCTTTCCTAGCAACTGAACTTAACTATTGTTGCCAACAAATATGAGAGTCATATGAAATGGGTACAGTTATTAGAGACATCATGTACCAGTTTTGTATATGTAGAGTATTGCTTGAATATATCAATCCAGTAAGTGCAAGTGCCCAGTAAACATCATTCTGTAGTCTTATATTCTTCCACCTTTGAAGGTGCCTAGTATTCATAAAAATTGAAGTTCAATGCAGCTTTTTTGGCTACAAAGATAACAAAGAACAACATCCATACTATACAATATTTCTTAAGACATCTCTACAATGGCAGGTATACACAACTGACATGTATGAGTGAAGCATGTCGAGCATTAAGGTATGGTTGTCAATTTCATCACATTTTTTTCATTACTTGCAAACAGCTTGTTTCTGGTAGCTTTGAAAACTTCTGTATCTCCACTTTAAAGCAAAGGCATTTCCCATTAAAATTTTTACATCAATAAATAATAAGCTACCAGTAACAGGTTTTTCAATTGTAAATGTTTCATAGCTTCCAATTTTCATCATATATTTTTTTACATTTGAAAGAATAAGTATATTTTAATCATTGTAATATAATTAAATCCTCCATTTTGAGACAATGGTAATAGTCATATGTACGAGAAAGACAGCAAATAAATATAGCATCATACAGTAGTAAAGTGTTCTTGTGTAGAATGAAGTTTCAAACTCACTGAAATTAAGTTGACTTCACGATTCAGATTTTAGTTAAAGAAATGTATAATACCATTTATGAATTTTAAAGAGTAAATGCCAAAAGCTTAAAGATGGAATTTTAAAAAAATGCTAAAATGTGGTATATCGATTCACTGAGATTTTAATCAATAGCTGGCACACAGAGGTATAAAAGAGGCTTGTAAAAAAAAAAAAAAAAACCAGGGCAATAAAATTAAAGATTCAGGAGAAGCATAATTTTTATAACATTAACTAGTTTACTGATCTGCTTACCTGAATTCAATCTGGAAAGAGATCTCTGCTACACTTATGTTTTATCCTCTCTCACTTAAATTAAAACAATATTTAATTAGTTGCAGGCAGGCTAGGGAGGAAATCAAAGGAATGGATATATGGGACATAAAAAGAAACATTTTAAAAGTTGATAAAGCAGAAGCATATAACCTACATGTCTGTGCTTCTGAATACAGCTATAATAGGAATTTTTAATGCTATTATCTTCATATGTAAACTGGGTGCAATATTTGGTCATAAAAGCAATTTTATCCTAACCTTGTCCCCTGAAGGGTGCCTTGTGTATCAAATATATCAAGTTCAGTACCTCCAGAGTCATTAGCAGCTTCTGGGACTACAAAATAATGAATTAATCAACAAGTTATGCCAGGCCAAATTATTGAGAGTCAACATTAAAAAAAATTATAGCTTCCTAGAATTGTAGGGAAAGTTTAAAGTATGCTTCGCCTGTGCTGTATATATGAATTCATTGTTCCTAATTACTAATGAAATTTTGAGGGGCAACTCAATTAATTCAAAAGAAAATATCCAGGCAGGTTACCCCGTTTCAATACACGATCACAGCTTGAACACTTCTTGATTGATTCTTCAGTTTCCAGTATCAGAAAAATTTTTCATATTACAAGCATGTTCATTATAACCTGAGTATTAAGTACGGTATCCAGTCAACTCGCCGACGGACCAACTCGCCGACGCACCAACTCGCCGACGCCAACTCGCCGACGTATAAAATCGAGTAGAGACGTCGGCGAGTTGGTCCTAAATCCAATACAACTTATTAGAAGTTAAACATACAGAAAAGTAAACGATATTTAGTAAAAAAACACTGGCGAACATTGGTGAACATCAAACAGAAGCACAAACATTGGTGAACATTGGTGAACATCACCAATGACTATAACAGCTTAAGACGCGAACGAGTTATTGTGCGACAACAACACCGTAAAGACTCATCATGTCAATCGCTCAGATTTTTATTTGCAACAAAGTTTATAAGGATCTCAAGGCGAAAAAAGCAAAGTAAACATCGCCAATGACTATATCCGCTTCAGACGCGAAAGAGTTATTGTGTGACAACAACACCGTTGTGCGTTGACTTTTTATCAAGCGACTTGACTTAAATAAATAAGACCGATTGACACGAGATCCTTATAAACTTTGTTGCAAATAAAAAGAATTACTTTTTACTAAAGATCTTGTCCAGAAAGCTAAGTTTTCTTTAAAAAATCTGAGCGATTGACATGATGAGTCTTTACGGTGTTGTTGTCACACAATAACTCGTTCGCGTCTGAAGCGGATATAGTCATTGGCGATGTTTACTTTGCTTTATTCGCCTTGAGATCCTTATAAACTTTGTTGCAAATAAAAAGAATTGCTTTTTTCTGAAGATCTTATCTAGAAAGCCAAGTTTTCTTAAAAAATCTGACCGATCATCATGATGAGTCTTTATAGTGTTGTTGTCACAGTCCCGATAACTCGTTCGCGTCTAAAGCTGTTAGAGTAATTGGTGATGTTTATCTTGCTTTATTCGTATTGAGATCCTTATAAACTTTGTTGCAAATAAAAAGAATTGCTTTTTACTAAAGATCTTGTCTAGAAAGCCAAGTTTTCTTTAAAAAATCTGAGCGATTGACATGATGAGTCTTTATGGTGTTGTTGTCACACAACTCGTTCGCGTCTGAAGCTGTTAGAGTCATTGGTGATGTTTACTTCGCTTTATTCGCCTTGAGATCCTTATAAACTTTGTTTCAGATAAAAAGAATTGCTTTTTACTAAAGATCTTGTCTAGAAAGCCAAGTTTTCTTTAAAAAATCTGAGCGATTGACATGATGAGTCTTTACGGTGTTGTTGTCGCACAATAACTCGTTCGCGTCTTAAGCTGCTATAGTCATTGGTGATGTTCACCAATGTTTATGCTTCTGTTTGATGTTCACCAATGTTCGCCAGTGTTTTTTTACTAAATATCGTTTACTTTTCTGTATGTTTAACTTCTAATAAGTTGTATTGGATTTAGGACCAACTCGCCGACGTCTCTACTCGATTTTATACGTCGGCGAGTTGGCGTCGGCGAGTTGGTCAGTCGGCGAGTTGACCGTAATTCTTAAGTACGTAAAGAGAGAGTGGCTCTATGTTTTGTGAGACAATCTGAAGTTTGAACAAATCAAGTAGAGGGCATGAAAACATAGCCCTCAAAATTACCATGAACAAACAATGACATTCTCTCCTTCTGCAGTAGGACTAACCCCTTGAGATGATAGGAAAATGTTTGTAAGTGAAAGTACACCTCTAGTAATTAGTACTTTCCTATAAGGTTTTCTGTAAATTTAGAGTCACATGACCAGTTACATTACATGATTCATGGTTTTATAGAGTTAGCAAACTTCCTGTTATGAAACTGACTTCACACAAGAACTTAGTCACAAAAAACAAAGTCAAAAAGGCAGGAACCCCTTCTTAATATAATACATTATTAATAACCAAGGCCCTTTTTTTAGCCCTCAAAGGTCATTATGGGCAGCCTGAACTCTCTCCATTTTTCATCTTTATTTATTTATTATTTTTGTATCATGTAAATTAATATGGGGTACAAATGAAGTTATTTTTTGTTTAATCAAAATCTACTATCAAACCTTTTCTAAATTCTTTTGAGCTATGTCCCGTATATCAGGGACCTGATGCTGAAGGCATTTATGCATCATAATGGCAATGTTTGAAAGCACTCTGACCTTGATGCAAAGCCATTGAAGTCCTGTGCTATTTACACTGTGAACAGTGCAGAACCTCGTATAGAGTATCATGGAACCCCAAAATTTCTCAAAGTTTCTCATGCAGGCGCTCACACTGAATGCTTTCAAATGCCTTTGTCACATCAAACAACACGATGAATTTCTCCTGTATTTGTTCTATTTAATGTCATCTGCAATGTGAAAAATCAGGGAGCCTTTTTCTGAGCTGTCTTTGCAGGCTTCTCAAAAATGGAAAATTAAGACGAGTCTAATATTATTTGTAAAATATCACTGATTGAGAGGTGAACGTGTTTGAAACAGAAATGCATGGTTAATGTTGTAGGTCGAATCATGATAAGCTAATCCAGAGTTATCATGAGTCATCTATTAACAATTAAGAAGTGGGGAGAAACACTCGAGTACGTCTCGTGTTTTTCCCTACACTTCTTTCGTGCCCTTGCCGCTTCCTCGTACTTTGCAACAGAACAGAGCACAGTCAAGGCTTCTCTTTTTGATAACCAACAGGTGGAAAGCAGGGATAACTCGTGTCAAATAATTTTTCTTTATAGGATAGTGCATTCGATTTTGAGAAGAAAAGAAATGTTCCTGTGAAATATAACCGTGAGCTTTGGTCAAACACAGGTATGTAAAATAAATATCAACTGTAACTGAGTGTCGGGAATGTGCATAAGGGGTTGGTGGAGCCAAGAATTCCGACTAAGTACCCTTTAAGTGGCATCCAGCTCTGAGGTGATGATTCAAAGTATGTCACTTAAAAGCATCGCGTAAGTTTTTTAAGTGTGATAGTTTGTAACTTTCGAACTTTCGTCGGCCGCTTCATTCCGTCGATTTGGCTGAAATTTGGCATGAAGTCTTACTCCAGGGTCCTAATCACGAAATGGATATTAAAAAGTTCCATTTATTTTTGCTTGCCAAAACAACGGAAAAGTGCACTTGGTCTGCCCATACTTGCCCGCCAATATGGCGGATCGAAGGTGATCTTTTGAATTCAACTCGAGTCCTATCGTAAAGATTTCTCAAAATCTCGTGATATCCGTGAAACGATGTTCCCTTCCCTTAACATATATTTAAAAAAAACATGGCAAATGTCTAGTTTTAACAATTTTCAGAGGTAACATTGGAGATATCAGGCTAACAAGTTGGTGTAAATTTTTTACAGTTCGAGGCGGCGCAAAACGACCTTCGAACGTTGACATAACCTGTCATCAAAATCTGTCATTCCTACATTTTTTCCAACAAATGTTAAGAAAAAGGTTAGATTTTTAAATTTATTTCAAGAGATTTTAGGAAATCTATGCGACAGGACTGGAGTCGAAGTCATAAAAACACCTTCGATACGCCAAGTTGGCGGGCAATTATAGGCGGACATGGTCGATTTTTTGCCAAGCAAAAACAACTGGAACTTTTTAATACCCATTTCGTGGTTAGGACCCTAAAATTAGCCGTCATGCCAAATTTCAGCCAAATCGGTAAGGTTAAGTGGCCGCAATTTTTTTAAAAAGTTCGAAAGTTACAGACTATTGCTCTTAAATCTTTTCAAATTTTGATTCAGTGAGAGACTCCACATGTATCTGTATTTATTTAGTGAGAGCCATAAAGCGAATAGAAGAAATCAGAAACAAGAGGCAAGATCTTCATATCGTAAACAGGTTTGTTCTAATGAAGTGTTTTAAGTGACAGTAAGAGTGTTTGCATCACAGATGAAGTTCTTATGAAAATTACTAACGTTTTTTAGATCTTTCAAACAAGAAAGTTTGCTGAATGAAGTTAGTGTCACATGTGTTTCTTTTCTGTTGGAAGAGTGAACTTCGAAGCATCATAAGTACTGTAACGTGACACAATTAAAAGGAACACCATTAGCCACTCCTCTGAAGACCTGAAAAGTTTTCCCTATTGTGGTGCTTTTGGTGGAATTTCGCTTTGAATATTTTTATGTTACTCGAACTGTTTTCATCAACTTCCACTTACCGTGTAGCGCGAAAATCTTGCTAATTGGAGATTTCTTGTGTTCTTCTTGAACAAATTTGCAGTTCCAGATAACATAATTGACTGGCTTTTGTTGGTCAACGATCTTGACAACGTTTACAAAAATGTTCACCAATCATGTTTTCAGACAGTGCAAAGAGTGCGATTCAATTTAGTGATAGCACTCAAGGTGAGAAAGATGCAGTCAACTTTGAGAGGGACGTGTGTAGTCCCGTCGATTATACAACGGCTGGCTCTACTTTTTGTGCTATGTACCAAAGAAGTTAGTTAGAAATGTAGTTAGTTTGATCTAAAGTTAGAGATGTAGGTATAGATATAGAGATATGGAGATAGAAATAGATAAGTGAACTAATTTAAGTATAGCATTAATCAACACAAACATAGACAGCAGTTCTTTTTCATTAAGCCGCTTTACTTGTTTATTTTGACCATCTACTTACGTATTGGTATTTTATAAGGCTGAAACCAGATAAGAATGTCACAGAAGAGGCTGAGATAAAGGAAATAAAGCAAGGAATCACCCTGATTGGCCCACCAGGTCAGAAATGTCATTCCTTTCTCATTCACTGCATGGAAATACAAATACGTCACATAATTTTTAGAAATTTTAGAATTTTTAGACGAAAATCTACGCGAGATTAGCGTAGTGCTGAATTTCTCTCCCGCTTAATGAAGTCTTCATGGGAAAAATCAAAATAAACACTGGAACACTGGTGCCCACAATCCTCAGACGCTAATGAAAAAACGTAACGGAAACCAAGTGAAGTGTAACTGTGTTTGTTGTCGTTTTAAGTACGTAGGATGATTACCTTTTTTTTGTTCTATAGTTGAAAAGAGGAAACTTGAACGGAAGATCTCACAAGTTATGCGAGAACCTGAAAGTATGGAAACTGAGGGTTAAACGGAAACATCTATTGTAACTGCTTTAATTGGTTGGAAGAATTAAAGTATTTAACCAATCTTCGCCGTCGAAAGTTGATAGAGTAATTTTGGCCGTGCTCGACAAACTTGCTTCACTACAAAGAGCACTTTGCAAACGCGCGTAAGATTGTCATCTTCTGTCTTGACTTTCTTAAAAAGACTAGGTAAGCAAGCACCTTTTCTATTGTGGGAATAGTTCATTCACAATTCCGCTATTATAAACTGTTATAGAAAGCCAAAGATCCAGATTCTTGTTTAATGCCCAAGTTTTGGGTCTTCAACGTGTTTGGAAGTCAATCTTTTGTGAATCAAGCTAATCTGGGAGAACAGCATCTCTCAGTCTGTTTTGTTCGAACTTCCCAGTGCTCGGTCCGTTCTGTAGAAACCTCAAGCCGATATTTAATGACAGACAGGCTGACAGACCTTTTTCTCGAACATTCGAGGAACGCCCAAAAGTACGTCGAGATCGCGACACAGTGTATCGTTGGAGGTTTTAGGGGCGCACGAATACCCATGAAAGAAGCCCATCTTATTTGAGTGGAATGCTAATGAAAGAAAAAACATACACAAAAATTATTGTCAGTTCAAAGTCACCGATGAAATTTCTTCCTAACAAACTTCAACCGTCAAAAGTTCTAAAGTGCAACCGTCAACCGTCAAAATCGGTAAAAAAGTAACCGTTAGCGATCACAGCCCGCCCCCCCCCCCTTGAGAACCTCATCAAAGAGCTATCCAGTAATTTACCTTCTATTTTCTACAAATATCCAGGCAGTTTGAGAGAGGTTCGAGACACGAACGCGCAATAATGATTATCCTTCACATAAGTCAAGAACTGGTTTTTCAACGCTTAAAATACGACAGAGCACGTATCCTTTCCATCTAATTGTAAGAAATACAACATTTTATGCCAGTCTCTCCTGCCTAAAGCATGACTGTCCATGGTGATGGTTACCTTGTCTAATAAACTAATGAACATCTGCAACATTGGTTCATTGCAAAGAGTTGGCTTGTTAATGCTGAATTTGGTAAAAAGGGCCTATGGAAATTGATTCATCCTGGTTTTCTTCACCTGACGTAAATATGGTGAGCAACTAAAAACGAACATACAGCGGTTTACGCGGGTTGTGTGAAAACACGTGCTGTACCTAGTGGCATATTAAGGGTAGTGAAAGGTGTAAGTACCCCACCCCAACTCACCCCCCTCCTGCATCCGCAGCGTAGATTAGTTTCTTGAAATATAAAAAATAAAAACTTTGAAGCGTTAGCAACAGGAATGTGATTTCTAAATTAGAAGTAACTTAAAGTTGCGTGCAACTTTGCGATCTGCATTATATAAACTACGCCAGTAGTGTCGAATGTAAGTCCAACATTCTCCTTGTAGTGGTGCAATGACAAAAAACGCCTAAATTGACGTCAATGACAAGGTCCCTCTAGGAGACGTTTAACGGCATCTCCCTTATGTCTGTGATCATTTAAGTGGTCAAGAAAAATCTATATTTAATAGAGCACGTCATCGCCTGTTTTCCGTCTTCGCCTGGGGCAGTAAAAACAGCCACAGCGTGTTGCAATTGATGTAAGTTTCTCATTACTCATTAACTCTGCTGGATACCATGCTTGAGTAATATGGTTGCGCATAGTAATATTCCGGTTTCTAATCAAGAGACACTAATTCGTGTATGTTTCCTAAATCAGACTGAACACTCGCTCCTTTTTCCGCAAAGTATCACTTTCTTTTGGTTAATCTGCGGTGAAGCTTTGCTGATCTTATAAAAGTTCGCTAATTTTATCCGAGTTAACAATCACCATTGCTTTGAGTAGTCGTGAGGTATGATTCACAAATGTGAATTTCATTTCAGAGGCGTCTCTGGTTCATCTTTGTGCTGGACTACGTGAGATTTGTAAGAAGGAACGAAACATGCATATTCCAAAGTGCAGCTGGTAAAATTACATTTGAAGACAAAGAAAATAATACCTTGGCACCTGTTTTACAATTTCTAATTTTCGGGCGGAGCTGCATTACTGGCCTATTTTCCTAACAATGGTAACGAAATGCTTTATGTCTTCGACTCTCGAAGATAACGTTATCGAACACCTTCACTGGAACGATTAAAATGTGCCAAATAAACCAGACAGTTTCCTTTTATTTTTATGATGTGCAACAAAGGCAGGTCACTTCAATGCAAACAATAGTCAATATCGACAACTGTCAAAATGGAACTATCCAAAACTGTGGTAATGGACTTTGATTCTTAAACACGAATTCATTTTCTACATTCAAATGATAATCGCAAGAAAGATGAATACTTTTGAAAGAATAGCGATAATTGTGCGTAAACACCCTCGTCATTCTTTCCAACTAAAGTAAATTTAGATTAACCGTTTTTGTTGTTCACAGCTTTTGTTTCTTTCAGAAAACGAACTTAAGAAACACCTAGCCAGAAGAAACAGAATCACTGGCTACCTCACCTTCTCCTCAGGAGAGTCAGTAAAGCACTTCTATCCAATATACCTCCACCTTCCAATGCTATTATCATTGGATTCCATTTTCTTCGGCCTTCGTTTATTTCATTTGACAAACTTCTACGTGTCTTTATTGTGTCAGAGTATAATGAAGAAAAACACCGAAGCGTTTCAAATATTGACCCCTGTGGTCAGATTAATCCATTAAACTACTTCAAACAATTAAACTACTGCTGGCAAAGCACTAAAAACGTCGCTTTTGAAATTTCTACCAACCTGAATGGATTTATGAATGAACGGCAAAAGAAATGAAGACGTTATTTTGGTAAAGAGCAGTAATTCCATATCGCCGAGGAGTGAACACGGGCGTGCTGTTTTAATCGTTCGATGAACTTTTCAGCGTGAAATACGTTCTTAATGTAAACTAGTTGTGGTCTGTAATAAGTCAGTTCTTGTGTTAGTCAACTATTCTGCACAATCATTTTTGTCCCTAGTTTGTTGCCAATTGGAAAGTTAGTATTAACGCGTTTTAAAAGGATCCCCAAGATTACCAGAAAGCTACGTGAAATATTGGAATTGAATTATAAGTTTCCCGATCAGGGAGCTCTTTGTCCTCATGACGTCCTACTTGCTCCGGGTAGAGCCGTCAGCTGTCAGAGAACACAAAATCAGATAACAAATAATATTTTGGTAAAACAGCAAAACTTCGTAATAATCAAGTTATTGTCAAGTGCCATTGCCAAAGATGCTAATAAACGCCATTCAATTGCACACAATAGGTGTTGTTCTTAGTTGTTCAATGCAGGCTTCCACTCTACATGAGCATTTGTTACACACTCGCAATTAAAAAGAAATTGCCCCTGGGTTTTTTTTAACGAATACAATCACTCTAGGTAGAGAGAAGTTATTTTGCCCGCGAAAGCAGCAAGCAGTTTGCACATGTCTGCAGGAGGTAGAGAACGTGAGTAAAATTTCAAGCTAATTTCAGGCTATACTTATTTCCTGAGTAAGTTATTTCTAAAGCGAGCTTAATTAAAGCTCAATTACCTTCTAAAGCTTTGTGGAAAAGTGTCAGCAAAGGTAAGCCAAGGTCATTGTTATTCTATTATCAAGTAGATGTTCGCGTACAAAACACCGCGTTATATGTGTGATTTAGCCAAGCGCCATTTGCACCTGTGCGAAAGTTGTTCATCATTGTTCATACACATGCTTTCCTTTTTTTCCAGAGTTCGTGAGAGAATCTTTGAATTGAGACCTATAGCCTCATTATCTACGAGCAGGACCTGTCACTTCACTTGGGAGGAAAGGAGAGAAGCAGTTTAAGAAGTAAACTGACGACCAATTCAAGAAGCATAGCCGCTACGCGTCGCAATGGATAATTTTAAAAGACAACCTCAGAAACGCCCTCTGCAACCTGAAGATTCAGTGCCATCAGAAACTGATCAAGGACCACTAGCGGCCAGAAAGCAAGAATCTGGTGATGGCAGCAGATCAGGAAGCAATTCGGAATGCGATAACAATAACCGCAACCCACACCGTGATGACCTTCAGTGTGAATCAAACACGGATAACAAGAAAACGCGCACCCACCGCAAATCCCGACGAAGACCTCCTTACTCTTACATTGCACTAATTGCAATGGCGATCCAAAACTCTTCTGAGAAGAGATTGACTCTGGATGGTATATGCAAGTTCATCAGAGACAGGTTTCCTTTTTATCGTGATACCTACCCATCGTGGAAAATTTGTATCCGCAATAACCTTTCTCTCAACGATTGCTTCATCAAGACTGGAATAAAATCTGATGAGCCACTTAAAGGAAACTACTGGACACTGGATCCAGAGAGTTATAATATGTTTGAAAATGGTAGTTTTCTTCGAAGGAAAACCAGGTTTAAAAGACAAGATCCCAACAGAATCGAAGCGAAGTCTATCCCTGTTGTGGAAACGGGAAGGCACGCTTTCTCTTCTCCCTTAGATCTCCACAATAGATTTGGTACATCTTCCTTGGTGCCGCAATTAAGTTTTTCAAGTCTTGAACCACACAAAATGCCAGGGATTACTCCTTTTGGATTCCCCTTCCAGTATTATAGTCCTCCGACCTCGACAGATTCATTGTTTGTTCACTCACAGTTACCATTTCTGCCTTATTACCAAAATCTTAACTGCACACAGTGCAACCTTTGTGAGGGCTCCAAGCAATTTCATCCTTATTTGAGACTTTAGTAAAGGTAGAGAGAAGAGACAAAGTGGAAATCAAGCTGATAATCGGACGAATAACTGAAGAAAGAAAGATGACGAACTTATGAGGAAGAAGAATCCTTGAATGTTCAGGTTGTCTATACGACTCAAACATGTCATCCAAAGTGAAATATATATCCTGTACAAAGCTAGGTTACAAATTTATGTATTTTGAAAAAACTTTCCAAAGTAGGAAAGGTCGAGTAAGCTTCTATCAAGCCCCAGATCAAATTTGAGGAAAGGACAACTTAATTATATCGAACAAGGCTATTCTTGTTACCTCTACAAGACGTTCTGGAAACAAGATAACAATTTCGTATCTCCATTTGTCAGGTATAAAGCGGCGAGGCTAATGTATTAAAGTTCACGAAATATTTCATGTTCTGAAATTGTTAAAGAATGGGTAGAGAGGATTTAGATGGGGTTTATCTTGAAGAATTCAAAGTTCTTTCAAGATTGTGTTTTAAATGAGGGCGAAACAGATAAAAGTTCAAGTTTTAACGCTCATTGTTACTACTTAAGGCTGTGTCGTTCTTAGTCGATTGAATAATTGTCGTCTGATGTGCGAAAAATGATTTGATCACGATCTGGATTGTTACGTTAAATTCATTAAAAAAAAAAAACGTAATGAAGTTTTCGAGGCCAGGTTAATAGACAGGCAGACATTTCTCATTATCAAAGCATATGTTTACAAATAAGGGGCTTGCTTAAATATACACTATATGTTTATAGTCGTTGATTTCTAGACGTGAATGAAACATTTTGCCTTCCAGCCCAGATTCTACTGGGTTTAATCGATCTCGGTGATCGAAGGCTCTCCCATCGTTTACCGATAACAGATTTTAA